TCTCTTATCAATTGTTCCTCTCAGCCACCCCTCATCAGTCATGGAATTGGAAAAGATGTTGAATCTTGCCATGATATGGTAAGAGTACCATAAGTATTATTAGAAGGAGACTTCTTATACAGTACCTCCATTTCTCATACTATGTAAGAAAAGAACAGTTGTCACTTGCATTTATTTATCCTGCTTCTAAAAGATGTCTCTGGAGAAATGTTATTATTGGACAGTTTAAACTAAAATAGATTTGTCCACAAGAATGTATTTTCCCATCTTTCAGCTGGAAAACTTAATGATGTGCTAATTCTATTTTTATTTGCATTTCCAGCCAATCCAGTATTATTGTCTAATACAATTCTAATCAAATATGGTAATGGATTGCTCATCTTAGATATCTGATTTTAATGGGCTACTTTCCCTATTCCAGGCTGCATTAAACATCTTAAAATTGCTGTCTGAGTTGGACCAACAAAGTACAGAGATGCCAAGAACAGGAAATGGACCAATGTCTGTGTGAGTGAAAATATGTTCCATAATCCTGCAAAATCTGGACTGTTTATTTATTTTTTTACTATTTTAGGAAATTTTTGTATAATTATTTGCCTTAGTGTATTTATGTGGAAAGTCACAAATAATGGAGATTGGATATGAGAAATGTATACCTGTTTAATTTTATAGTTTTAATATAATTTTATATGTTTTAACTTTGATTGGAAGCTGCCCTGAACTAGTTGGAAAATGGGTGGCTATGTAAATATTTTAAATAAATAAATAAATCTATGTCCCAAATTGTACATTGGCATTATTTATTTAAGCAATTTATATGGCCACCCTCTCATTAAATATGGTGTACAACCCATCAATTAAAACAATGCCACTGCTGTGATCATCTTACTTTGGATTACAGCAAAATATTCTGCAGTTCATTTTTCTCTGAAGGTTTTGCTCATGTCATTTAGCTACCCCCTTTGGATTAAGTAGATTATATTGCTTCACTGGAATAGATTTTGCTTATCGGATGTTACTTAACTGCATTGTTGATAGTGCACTTAAAGCAAATGGACAAACATATAGTAGTAATTTGCTGCCTGAGAAAAAAGGTGGTTCTTACCATGAATATGAAGAACTGACTCTTCCATAATTCAAAACATAGCTCTCTTCTAAAAGAGGTACTGTTTTTTTCCCCCTCAGATGCGTGAAGCAAGAAATGGAAAATGACCCTCTCCTCAAACCGGCTAGCTCAAACACTTTGGGACAAACACTGGACACCACTGCCTAAACAGGCTTGACTGGACCCAAACCTGAAAGCACCAGAGAAAATCAAATGCTTCCTAATAATGTAACCTAACTGTTTTAGAGTGCTACAGTTGTTACAACCCACTGTAGTGTCTAAATCATAACCGTTGCTTTTCAAACAGTGATAAAATTTTTAGTTTCATTGCATTGTTTTGAATGACACTATAAATTTTTCATTTAAAAGTTTCTTGATTGTACCTAGAACTATAGCACAGTTTAGAAACTTGATTGTCTGACACACTTACCTATGAACTAACTTGGGAAGATCATATCCATGTATGTGTTCAATTTTTTGTTTTTAATGAAATTGTAAAAATAATTCCACTGGAAAAGGTGTGCCTACCATTTGATTATCAAAAAGTCAGTAAAGCAAATCTCGCCTAAATCTCAGACAGTTGAAGAAATAATTATACATTTTAGGAATTTTAAACTTTATTTGATCACTTTGATTTCTAGACTATTTTTGATGGGTAGGGAAGAGGGAGGGAAACCTGAATGCAACAGAAGCTTAAATGGTCGCTAATCTTTGTTTTTTAAAAAATGTGCGCGTGTGTCTGTATATAAAGGCACACCAACTCAGTACAGTACAGGATATGATCTCAATGTAGTGCATATAAAGCTGCAGATTGATTTTCCTGAGTGCTTTATACTGTTTAATTACATCTCCATGTAGGGCTGAAAAAAATTACCTATGTTTATATATAAACTGTGTTGCTTTTGATGTTGTGTTTATTACCCACAGCAATGTGGGCAATAAAGTTTTTGCATATGGTCCAGGTAAAGCACGATAGCATTGCAAGTTAAGTACTGCTTCAGTTCATTGTTTACGCTGGAATTTTTTCTCCCCATGGAATGTAAGTAAAACGTAGTGTTTGTCCAATAAATGGTAAATACTAAAAAAGAGGGGAAAGGTTTTTTTATTAAATGGCAATTTTGTAGAACTTTCTTTTTTAACCGCAGCAGATTTTGAATAATATAATGAATGAAAATTTAAGAATCATACATTCATAACTGGTTGTGAAGACATTAAACAATTTACTCAAGGATATATATACCTCAGCTTAAACACACACACACACACACAAAATACATACATACTTCCTTAAAAATAAATCTAACTGTTACAGAGGTAAACGGGAATCTCTTTCCAAAATATGAACTGAGTGGAAGTCCAAAGAGTGTTGCTTCCTTGGGGTCATCTTGATTAACACATAAGATTAGGGGTACACAACTTTGGGGCTGGGAAAGAAGCAGCATGCCAAACAATGGCTGAAGCCAGCACAAAAATTAAATATAATAAGATGACTCCATTCTGCCCACTGAAACTGGAACTGTGCAATGTTCCCTGAAGGGATAAAATCCCATAGGCCTTCATCTAGACCAGGGGTGTCAAACTCACAATGTCACGTGATGTGTTGCAATGTATCGCAACTTTTTCCATTGCCGGCAATGGGGTAGGCGTGGTTTCGGCATGACAATCCAGCCTGTGGACCAGCAGTTTGACACCCATAATATAGACAAATCCTTCCTGTTCAGATCACCTGCCCCTTCCAAATGAAGTCAATTTGGAACAGCTGGAAACTGACTAACTGCAATAACAATGTAATCTGTTGAACCTAAGTAGAGTTGCTATAAAGAAGTCTAAATAAAAATCTGTTGAATCTGTTCTGTACAAGAGTAGTAAGAGAGAAGCTCTGCCATAAATCATGCTAACAACAGCACATTCTCCTTGGAGTATTAAACAGTTCAGGTAGAGACCAATGGGAGCAATCCAAGTTAAGTAGTATAAGTTGGTGTATCCTTGTTCAATGCCATCCTTTTTTTTTCATAGACATAGTTGAAAGATCAGATACTACATTTGTAATTACTTTGCTTTTCTCAAACCCTTCCCAGGAAAATGGATGTAGTGGTTGAATTAATTGATATGAGTCCATGCTAAGACTTCCTTCCTTCCTTCCTTCCTTCCTTCCTTCCTTCCTTCCTTCCTTCCTTCCTTCCTTCCTTCCTTCCTTCCTTCCTCCCTCCCTCCCTCCCTCCCTCCCTTCCTTCCTATACATTGTTATTCATGTATCCACAAAAACAATCCTGTGAAAAAGGTTGGGTTCAAATTCATGAGGGTAGACTTTGGCTCTCTTTTTAGTCTCTCAACGTATTCATTACTATGCTGGGTAGTGGATTAATGTATCTAAATTCAAGCTGATTGCATCTTTGCTACATATGAGTTCTTCCATGTCACCAGTTAAGTAAGGGTCACTGTAATCCAACACATCTGGAAAATGCCCATATTGGGAGGATAGCACAATCTATATTGGTTGGGATCTGCGTATATGAAAGCCTAGCATTATTATCTGCTCCCACAATTATAAAACATTCTGAAATCAATGAAACAAAAACATGGTAGGAGAGACCCAACATCACTGATTCTTCTGGCTTTCAGTTCATGATTACGAGCTTCATTAAATTCAGTCACAGCAGATTTGCTAGCACAATAACCCTAAGCAACAGAGAACCATTTTTTTATTAAACACTTTGTACAATTCCTTGCAGGATCTACGAAGTGAAGGTTTTGCTACTATTGCTTAGGGTAGACTAGAATAGGGGTCCTCAACCCCGCCCCCCCCGGTCTGTGGACCAGTACCGGGCCACGGCATGCCAGCAACCGGGCTGCACAAACAAGCAAAGCCCCATCTGCAGGATGCAGGCAGCACACAAAACCATGCCCCCTCCAGTACATGGAAAAACCTCTCTCCACATAATCGGTCCCTGGTGCCCAAAAGGTTGGGGACCTCTGGACTAGAACCTGGGTCTCCCATCCTGGTCCAACACTTTAACCCAGTGTATCTTAAATCACAGCAACTTTAAGATGTGCAACCTCCAATTCCCAGAATTCCCTAGCCAGCTCCAAAATTGGGAAATACTGCATTAATCACCCATTTCAAACCAGGCGTGCTCCTTTGAGTGTTTCCCATTCAACTTTTTCTGGAACTTAAAGATGTGCTTATTTTCATTATCTTTCTTAATATGTAGAACAGAATAGAGAATTTCACACAGCAGTATTTGGGTTTCTTAAAGAAAAATGCTTACACATTATGAGAGATTTAAATTTTTTTTATGAGTACTTTGGTAGGCAGAAGTAGGATCGTGGTTGCTCTGACAAGCAAACAAGGTTTACACTGGGCTGACAATCCAATAAACTTAATGCCCTTGAATTTAACGACTTTAATGTGCAAAAACAACACGATAACAATAACAGTGTGATATCCCATAAAGCCTGTGCTCCTTATTAAATGTATACCTTCTATTGAACTTTGAGAAATATTCTTGAATAAGCAAATGCAGCGAGCTTCCACTCGTCTTATGCAGAGCAAATTCCTACATATTTGCCATGTTTTATGATTATACAGCCGTCTTTGCTATCGGAATAAAGGATCATTGCCCGTTGCCATTCTATGTTTCACACCAGTGCTGTATTTCAGCTTCATTAAACCACATAGTATTGTGTTCAGCGTCTACAAACCAAATTTGCAAAACTAAAGTGCTCAATCCTCAAATGTAATTTATCCCCTCCCATAAAGCCAGATACCTCTCAAAGAAAAGTACGGAAGTATTAGCATACACCAGGGACGTTGAAAACTACATTTCCCAAAATACCTTGGACAGACATGCGCACCAAGCTGCTCTAGCGTATATAAGGGCGCGACGCAGACGCACGCGTTCTTTTTGGGAGTTTTCGTGGAAGGTAAGGAGTTGGCCTGTTTGTGGACGGTGCAGCTCGGCGATCCGCCGCCATCTACCACGTTCTTTCTTGTTCGCGAGATTTTAGCTTGCCTCACCGATTTCTCATCCCCCCTTTTCTTTTTTTCTCCCTAAATTAGCCTGCTCTACTTTCCCTTAAGGTTATGCAAAATGTATTTAGGAGTGCCCCGTTCCCCCCCCCCGCCTGCATTGTTCTTTCACGGTACTCTTCTCCCAAGATGCGATCTTAGCGTTTGAAGGTTTAGCTTGGTGCTGGTGATGACTTTTAAGACTTTTTTCCCCATCAGAGCGGAAGTGTTGAACTTTTTGCTGTTAGCCAGAAATTGTCTGACGCACCAATTGTACCGTGAGGAGTAAATTTGGGGACTGGCTGGGAATTTTATACGCCTTGCTTTTGTCAGGGACGCTGAGTAATCCTTCTATCTTTGATCTCTTTCTGTTTCAGGCAAGAAGAATTCAGTGAGGAATGTATGGAGGAATGGCTTGCAAAGCTGTCCAAGCTGAAAGATGTGGAATCACCTAAAGTACTCTCAGTTCCATGGCGAATATTTTTTTTAAAGCGACGTGTGAGTTTCTTGGCTTCCCTATTATTTTTAGTTGGGTGTAGAAAGGTATTACTGCCTTATAACAGTGAAGAACGAAAGATATTTATGGTCCACACACTAGTTCTTGACTACTGGGGACTGCCTATACCAGTCCCTGCAGTTTTCTTGGTAAGATTTCAGCAGTGGTTCCTGATTTCTAGCCTGATGTCTTAACCCAGGGGTAGGCAACCTTGGCTCTTTTATGACTAGTGGACTTCAACTCCTGCTGGCTCAGGAATTCTGGGAGTTGATGTCCACGAGTCATAAAAGCCAAGGTTATTTACCCCTGTCTTAACTCAATACACCAACAAGGCTCTCACACATGCATATACTTAACTTGGAATATTAATAGATGTTCTGCTGGCGCTTTCAGTCTTCCCTGTTAACACATTCGAACTACCGCAAACTCTTAAGGGATATACTTGAATTGGCAAAACGTCATTCCTCTGTTGAAATTTATTTCTTTAAATAAATGAAGCTACCCACCTCAATAGCAATGACTCTAAATATTTCAGTATTTCCTGTGAATATTTTAAAGATTGCTATGCATCCTTTATCTGGTTTATTACAAAAGAAATAGCCAGATTCTTCTTCATAGGATTTGCTTTTCAACTTTTTGATATCCTACCCAATGTGAGTTTTGATTGGAAATTAAAGGAGTAATAAACCCATATTGGTTCTCGGGTTCTGTTTACCTGTTGCAAAGTTGTAAGCATGGTAGAGGTCGCTCCTTTTTAATATTCCTAGTTTGAAGGAGACGGTGTAAAGAGTGAGACTAAGCCAGTGTTTCTCAACCTTGGCAACTTGAAGATAAGTGAACTTCAGCTCCCAGAAATCCCCAGTCAGATTTTCAATTCTGTGAATTGAAGTCCACACATCTTCAATTTGCCAAGGTTGAGAAATACTGCTCTAAGCCATTCATTCAATGAATGGATGACACTGAGGCATGTCCTCCCAAGCTAGCTGGGCATGCTTTTCAGCACCACCACAAAGCAAGTATTGTACTTACACATTTCCTATTAAGGAGAATACAGAATGTTGTTCCTGTTTTATTATCTCCTGTTTTAAATCCCCTGATGTCAACCAGTTAAACTTTGTTTGATCACCTTCCATATTAGTTAAAAACTTATTCATGTAAGGAGAGTTTTTTAAAAAAAATGCTTTATAGATAATATTTTAATTTTTGCTTTTTGAGTTGTGGAAATTTCCAAAGGAATTCTTTTCAAAAGCAATCATGTAGCTGGAAAATATAACACATAGGTGAACAACCATTTTAAAAATAGTTTAGGCTATCTGTAAATCGTTGCTTGGATGTAATTTCTTGGTGAAGGCTAGATTAGCAAATAGCGGGAAAACTTCGAAACAAGGAAGTTACAGTTATTGTTGCAAATACCCTGAAAATCATCCCTTCTCTGGTGTGTCTCTAGAGCTGATGTGTATGATGACTAAAGCTTTTTTCCCCATCAGAGCGATACTGTTGATCTTACTGTATTAGCCAGTCTTGTCTGATACATCAGCTGGGGTGCGTGCTTATTCTTTTCCAGGCAGACTAGCCTGTAATGTAATTGCTAGGTCTCGTGTCATTTTAGGATTCAAATGAATCAATGAAGAAATAGCAGAACTTTTGTACTAGATCTATGGAAAAAAAGGAGTCATGTAAGCCTAAGAAAAATGGAGCTGGCTGTTTCAAGCGCATCCAGGAAATATAAAGGTAAAAAAAAAAATTGTGTTGTCATTAAATGTACTTATTAAAAGTAATCCCACTATCCAGTTTGCTAAATGGAATATTCAGAAGGACTCTGAAATGTTACATTTCCCTCCTGAGCAATGCTGATCTGAATGTTCTGACCTGTGGTTGTCCAGACAATTTAGTTCTAGAACATTTTAAAACCAGAATGGTTGGGTTGACTTGGTCCTAGAGGAAATAACAGCATATTGGAGTTCTTTGGAATCAAATGCTTTGCATTTCTCTATATAATGACTTTGTTGGAGACTGTACCATAGATCATCCTGGAGCAAATTCTGCCTCTCCCAGGAGCTCATGGGATAACACAACTTTGCGGATAAAGTAAAATGTGCAGTATGAGAGTTACCTGGTCAATCTTTTAAAGATTTTGGAAAAGTTGCATCACTTTTCTTTGGGGAATGAGAGGTAATATTAAAAGCTTCAAGCTGAAGTCAGTTTTTTTAAAATTCTCAATGCATCAATGCACTTTGAGAAAATGTGGGTGGAAAACTTGGAAATTCTAGTTGAGATTGATGAAATTGGTTCATAAAGCTGCTCAGGTGAATCATTTATTGCAAATTAACTGAAAAGCCAGTTCCAAGAAAATCATTATTCAACATTCTTTCCTTAATGTTCTTTGCTGATAACTGTAGCAGTAAATGGAGAAGGATACAAGCCAGTTTGGTTGTGGCTTGTTTGAATTGTCCATAGTTTTGGCAATGTGATGTATTCCAGATGCCTGGGTTTTAATTCATTAGCTCCAGTCAGTATGGGTAGCACCAGGGAAGTTTTCTTGATTTAAACTGCTTAGAATTTGTGTAAGCTTGTGCCTGGTAAGAACCATAAGGCATTCATTGAAAGCAAAGCTTTAATTTACTCATAAGAAAAAGAGTAAGAAATTAAAGAGCTGGGGCTCATATTGTACTAAACTGGTGCAATGTTGCATATAAAATAACCTCAGTTATAACGTGAATTGTGCTACTTTGATCTAGGAGCTTGATTGCAGTTGCCAGAGTTGTATGGTTTTAAAAAATGCCACAGAACTTAATCAGACTGTAATTGAAAGAATCAAAATATAACAGCTATTCTATGTGATTGTCTCCTATCAAGTGTGCTTGAAAGTCAAGTACTCTTAAGACAAAGGGACTGCAAAACAAGCATGTCTGATTCTACTGATGCCCAAGTCTTCATCTTGCACATTTTATATTTGGAGCCAGATGTAAATCTTAATTCATGTGGCTTGTTTTTTTTAGGAGTGTTGTGCTTAGCTTGAAGCGCTGGTGATAAAAGAAGCTGCATCACATTTTGCTGTGATTGCTACTCCAGAAAGGTTTGTTTTACTTAGCATACAAATGTTCATACCTTATTTATATAATTACTTTGGAACAAATGTACATTATATTTGTAAAGTATCCACTGTATGTATGATGGGCTACCGTATCTCATCATGGAGGGAAGCATATAGATAATGGTGCTTTTTCTATTAGTGATCTATAATAACTTTAGCACTGCACATAACCTGGGCTGGGATATTTTGCTAAACTACTTTTTGTACTGTTTTTAGACAAACTTGATCTGTAAACAAAGCTGATGTGTATAATTCAACAAACTGGTTGAATGAGCCATGCATATGGGAATTGAGCACTAAGTTGTTAGTGGAAAGGATTTAGGGCTTTTATTCTATTCTGCCACCTTAAACCCATACTGAACATTTTTTCTTCTTTAACAGATTCCCAACTGCCATGTGATGTTTACAAGAGCAGCGTGAGATTGACTGGCTGGAAAATAATTTAAATTCAGTAGTGCTAATGCTCAATAAATACATTTTTTGCACTGTAGCAACTTTTAATGGTATGAATCCTCAATGATAGAACAAAAACAGTTTTTTCTTCTCTACAGAGACAGTCTCTCAGTTCATGGGTTCACAACTGACCCTGTATGAGCAGGGTATGTAGTAGTTCATTGGGATAGTTAACAAAGGGTGTATCTTCGTAGGACAGTTTGTGCTGTTGTACACCTACAGATTTATGACATCAGGTAACTGGGACAAGTAAAAATAATCTCTCGTTTTTTAAATTTATTAGATTTATATCTTTCATTCAGGAGCTCAAGAAACTTTCATTTTCTCCTACAACATTGAGTGTTGTATGTTAGACTGAGAATGATTGGCCCAAAGTCAACCATTGAGCTTCTGGAAAAAGTGGGCTAGAACTTTGCTTTCTCCAGTGCCAACTCAGCATCTGAATCTGCATACGATGAGCTCTCTTTTGGGTTATATAACTAATACAGCACACGTAGCTAGTAACCAAGAACTGTGGGAGGGAATATTGAAAGGACAGTATTTGCATATTAAGCTGGAGTGGTGTCCTGTTGTAGATCATTGATAGTCAAGGTTGAGAGATAACATTTATTCCAATTTATATAGCTACCCAATGTGCCCATCTCATATTGGGCAGCTTACAGACAGACGTCAGTTTGCCCAGGTGACTTGAGAAAGGTTTCCTGCTTTTTGTCTCGTGATGAGCCAGCTTGTCACACTGCATGGCAGATACCCAAAGGTTGAACTATTTGTGTTCCTAGAAGGTGTGTGCTTGTGCTCTGCATTAGTCATATGCTGCATTGGGTAATATGGTACTCCTGCTGAGAGTGTAGATGTTGTAACCAGCCCTCTGGGTATGAGGATGATTGGAAGTTAATTGCCATTCATGTTCACAAAGAAGCTAGCAAAATAAGACCTGGTATGTTTTTACGTACATGCAGCCAATGCAATCAGAATGGATTATAGGGTGAGTCAAGCATTGGACTGAGTTAAATGCATCCTTAGCGTTTGTTCCAGCCTTAGTGAATGCAATGTTAAACACCTCCTTAATGAAACAGCAAACTTCAGTTTGTCTAATTCTAAAACAGCTGTATAAGAATAGTTAATATTGGCTTTCCCTTATATAATTTGAATTTTATACCCTGCCTTTGATGGGAAGGCTTAAGAGTGGTTTAATAATATAAAAAAATCTACTGCACAGCAATCCAACAACTTTTAATTTTCCATAAGCACAGAGATACATCAGATTTGTGATCTTCCTAGTATACAAGTCACAAATATTCAGTTGTCTCTTAGCTGAAAAGTTTCTCTTGTCTAATGCTGATATTCAGTTTATTACTTTCCAAATTCCCATCTTTGCTTTTAAGTAGGTGTTATTAAATGTATTCTAGAAAATTTAGCTCTCCTTTGCAAGATTTTGCCCCTCAAGGGAGGTCAAGATTAATTTGTCAACATCTACATCAATGATTAAAGTTCACCTAATGTGATGTTTCACATCCTTAGCAATTTTTAAAATGTATGAACTTCAAGTCTCAATTCCAGGACACTGCTGGGGAATTATGGGATTTGAAGTTAAGTCATTTTTCCATGGAAAAGGCAGGATTTAGAGGTAATTTATGACTTTGAAAAGACCTGAAAAAGTTTTGAGCTGCTTTTGACTGAATTTGCTTAATTACTGTATGATTCACTTGATAACCATGGCAAAAAAGTGGTAAAATTGGGTGTGACTCACTTAACTGCTTTGCTTAGCAACAAGTTATTGAACACCACCTATAAAAGCGCCTCTAATTTTGTGTGTGTGTGTGTACGTAAGTACTTTGGGCCTGTGATGTTACTGTTGGTATAGATGTGGGAACAAAATGATTCATGCATGTAGATCAGTGGTTCTCAACCTTTCTAATGCCGCGACCCCATAATACAGTTCCCCATGTTGTGGTGACCCCCAACCACTTATACATCACTGGGTGCCAGGGGTGGGGCCAAAGAAAAGGGAAAAATGGCGGACAGCCTTGTTTGGCGACCCCCGTGAAATGGTTGTTCGACCCCAAATGGGGTCCCGACCCACAAGTTGAGAACCACTGATGTAGATAGACATGTCCCCGAAGTGGTTTCATGTGGTTTCATGTGGCCTGCGAACCCATCCTGGAAACAGTGAGTAGAAGGGTCTCCGCTGCCTTGGCCCAGGCCAGCCGGGCAGTGAGTAGAAGGGTCTCCGCTGCCTTGGCCCAGGCCAGCCGGGAGCCAATGTACAATTTTGTGGTGGCCATCTATGCTGAAACGCATTCAGTCTTAGCTCTGTAAACCCCCTTCCCCCCCCCCGCACGGCCTGAGAGAAACAGTGAGGCTCCTCCAGTGGACCCATGCCTTGGCACTTGCCCTGGTCCCACCCCCTTCTGCCAGAGACCCTCAGATCTGTCCCACTCCTGCCCAGGCACCCTTGACACAACGATGTAGAGCTGGCCATGCCCACCCAGTAACAGTTCACTATTTCATATGCATTTTATTTTTCACTTGAATGGAGACATAATTAGTTTACAGATAACATTTTTGTTTTTGCTTTATATTAATGGGAGGAGCACACCCATTTACCACATGTCCTTTAAAATGCAGAATGAAAGCTATTTTAGGTTTCAATGGATAATTCAAAGCTATTCCATCTCCCTGGAAGAGTTATTTTACACCAGAGGACCCAGTCAACTTTATAGTGGCTTTTAAAGCATGTGATCTATGCTAATGAGTCAAGAATCACATCTTTCTGATTTGCTGGAAGCATACTCTGTGGTATCTCATAAGCCCATGCCTCGGGAGTTTTATCTGCAAGGTTTGATGGCAAGTGCCAAGGTCATTGATCAGCAGACTAATGGTAGAAAGTGGCTCAGGAATTCTGGGTGTTGAAGTCCACAGTTCATAAAGGAACCATAGTTCCCCACCTCTGCTCTAGGGAATTGGGTCACTCAGCAAATTGCAGCCTCCTGCCTCACCCCATGGTAATCTTCATGTCAGAAATTGATATTGAAGCCCAAAGTGAACAGAAGAGATAAATTTGCTGAGTGACCTGGTTTCCGAGAGTTATGGTCCTTTTAGGACCTCTGGATTTCAACTCCCAGAATTCTTAATTCAGTGTGGCTGGATTAGGAATTCTGGGAGTTGAAGTCCACACGTCATAAAGGGGCCTAATTCTTTACGTCATTCAGCAATTTGCAGCCTCCCTCACCTCATGGTAATCTTCATGTCATCTTGCTTAATGAAACCCAAAGTGAGCAGAGATGTCTCCTGGGTGAATTTCTTTGCTATGTTCACCATGGTTAAAACAACTACGAGCCTTTCAAATTTCTTAGCACTAAAACGTTTATGAAGAGCTAAATAAAGGGGGGGAGGGGGATTTCTGAGTATGTGACAAAAAGCACATTTCTCAAGTGTTTTTAATTGTGCAGGACTTCCTGCATTTGTTAGCATCTCTGAAAGTGCCCTGCCCATTTCCGTTCTTGTTGCTATTTTTCTGAACCTCTCCTTAGTGCACCTTTCCTACAAAGGGTGGTGGTGATAGAATTAAATAAGTTTACAATCCGCTCTAAATCTTTAATCAACTTCCTTACAGTGTTTAAAGTTAAGAAAGTGTCTGTGCTTTTGCTTTTTGGTAGCTTTTCAGCATTTCACCCAGTTAGGATATTTCCCAGATAGATAGGTAGATACACAACGGGGGGGGGGGGGGGGGCGGGTAGGTTGATAGACATAAATAGATAGGAAGGTAGACAGACAGACATATATAGAGAGGCAGATGCTATAGATCAGTGGTTCTCAACCTTTTTAATGCCGTGACCCCCAACCGGTCGTAAGTCAAGGACTACTCAACCGGTCGTAAGTCGAGGACTACTTAACTGGTGCAGCACTGTTTGCAGAATGGGACTTTTGGCGGGCTCAGCAGGGCAGAGACAGCCTGGACAATTCCTATTGGCTTTTGAAAGCCAATAGAATTAGACTCTATTCAAGAGAGTCTATTCTATTGGCTTTCAAAAGCCAATAGAATAAAAGAGAGTAGCACAGCTAAGGAAAGGGGGGGAAAAATGGCGGACTGCGTTGTTTGATGACCCCCGTGAAATGGTCGTTCGACCCCAAATGGGGTCCCGACCCACAGGTTGAGAACCACTGCTATAGATAGTTGATAGATGGTTAGATAACTAGACAGAAAAAATATGCATAGTACAACATACAAGGATTTTGAAATGGCAAAATCACATGTGAATTCTATCAGTACTTAGACCCATTGTGTTCACAGTATGTCAAAGAGGACCACGAAGAGACTCATAATATCCACTTTCAGATAATGGCCTCAAAGACTATTTCCTACTGTGTTACAATTCCATTCTCTCTTTGTTTTCCATATTATTGTTTTGAGTGGATAAGTTCACATTTCACTTGAGTTCTACTTGGCTGGAATCTATTCCATTCATCTCTGCTGTGATAGCAGAGAAAGGTGGTGTTAATCATAACACTTATTTTGTTTCTTTATTTCTGAGAAGCAATGCAAAGGATGTGGCTTCCAAGAAATTCTCATTTTAGCAATAAGCTGTGATACAAGGCATTCACTGAAAGTGCATCTGATCTTGATTTTCATACAGAAAGTCCTCAACTTATGACCACAATTGGGCCCAGGACTTCCATTGCTAAGTGAGGTCATTAAGTGAGTTGTGCTGATTTTACAACTTATTTTGCCATGGTTATTAAGTGAACCATGAACTGTTAAGTGAATCCAGCTTCTACCATTGAATTTGTTTTGTCCAAAGTCACTGTAAAGTTTGCAAATGGTGATCGTGTGATCCTACAATACTGCAACTATCATAAATACATGCCAGTTATCAAGCTCCCGAATTTTGATATGACTGTAGGGATGCTACAACAGTTGAGGACAGATCATGAATTATTTTTTCCAGCATTGTTGTAACTTAGAACAGTTTCTAAATGAATGGTTGTAAGTCGAGGACTACCTATATACAGCATGAGGCTATAACATTGTATTTGGTTTTAGACTATTGAATAACCTATTTTTAAATAATAATAAAACCAGATACCAATCTTTCCAGATTCTGCTTTACAAAGTATTTCTGCCATATTGTTGGACCTTTGAAGTATTATGCCCCATTTCTGTTTCTTTGAATTAGTATGATTGTTTTTTTATTATGATTCACATTTTTTATTTAGGTTAAAAATGTCTATTTTAATTGGCATTATATGTAGTCATAAATATGAGGCAAGGGAGAGAGGCAGGGCCCAGGGAGGAGAATAAGGTTTGGGTTGGGGGCATGTAAACATTCCCCACCATTATATACCAGAATGCTTAAAGGCAAGCACAAACTGCTTGTGTTTTAAATTTGCTTTTCAAGGGGACTTTATTTTCCAAGAAAAGAGACTAAAAGGAAAAGCAAGAGGCCAGATAGTCCAATGGCAGTTTGATAACAGCTCCTTCAGTCATTTGATTTTCTGCTGGGTCAGTGAGGTGAACACCTAATTAGCAGAATGAAAGGGATGTTTAATGAAGACCAAGGCTGGGCTGTTTTGTCTTCTTTTGTCACTGTGTCCTCTTCCAGCATGCATATAACAAAAGAGCAATATTATTGCACAGAATATGAAACCAAATTGTTGTGCTCAGATAACATTGCTTGAATGTAGGTGTTCCTTGCCCTACTAATGGCTAGAATTTCCCCCTCCTGTAACCAAAGATTATACCCCAAGATTTTTAAATTAATAGGTCTCATGAGCAGCCTGAAAAGTTCTTGGGAATATTTATGCCATGGTTGAAGTGCTATGACAAGGGAAGTTGTTAAAATGCCAGTGGAAGTAGAAATGTTCTGGAGCTAAGTTATTCCATATTCAGAACAAGTATTTATTAATTATATCGTCTCTATATATTTAGGCTTCTTTTCAGCTGATGTCAAAGAAGTGTAATTCTGTTTATGTGTGTGATTTAATACTTGTACTGCCTGCCATGTTCTATTGCAAACCATTTTGAAAAATTAGGATTTTATTTAATCAGCATTTAAAAGCTGTATATCCACAATCCTGAACTGCATTTCTCAGCAACTCCAAAGAACTACAGTAACAATGACTTAAATAAGAAAGAAGAGTTTCCTGAACAGGAAATACAGAAAGGTGGTTCAGAAAGATGAGAGCCGAAATATCCGTTGGTTATTTATTTATTCATTAAATTTTCTATGTTACTCATCTCACTGATGCAGCTTCTCTTGGCAGCTTATAATATAATAAAAAGTAAAAAAAACACTAAAGAGCCATTAAAATTAAAAGAATTAAATAGAAAAGCAAAACACTAAGATGATGGGTGGCCTGGGGATGGGATCTTCTCTAGCCAGTCAACCTTTCACAATGTAGAATTGGGGCCCCAGGCAAAGCTGGATTAAAATATAGTGACATTCCTTGCGGTTCCATATAGAAAAAGGGTGCAACCCAGGCCTCCAGGTAGCATGAAGACTTAGGATCTATAGGTATGCCCCAATATGGATCAAAGCCTTCCCTCCAATTCCTAGGCCATGCACAAATATTTATTTATTGATTTATTTTATTAAAATTTATAGATCGCCCCACTCCTGCAGGACTCCGGGCGGCTAACAATAAAAACACAATATAACATTAACAAAACAAACAATACAATAACATTCATCCAGGGTCAGATTTTATAAACCCCAGGCCTGCCGGAAAAGCCAGGTCTTAAGCAGCTTGTGGAAAACCAACAGGGTGGGAGCGGTCCTAATCTCGGGGGGAGCTGGTTCCAAGATGTGGGCGCCATCACAGAAAGCCCTCCCCCACGGCCCCGCCAAATGGCACTGCTTAGCCGACGGGACCTGAAGGAGGCCCAGCCTGTGGGATCTAACCGGACGAAGGGAACTATAAGGTAGTAGGTGGTCCTGTAAATAGCCTGGCCCTGAGCCATATAGAGCTTTAAAGGTAATAACCAACACCTTGAATTGGACCCGGAGACCAATAGGCAACCAGTGCAGCTCACGGAGGATAGGTGTAACGTGGGTGTACCGAGGAACACCCACTATCACTCGCACGGCTGCATTCTGGACCAACTGTAGTCTCTGAATACTTTTCAAGGGTAGCCCCATAGACTTGATGGGAGAGAAGAGGGAAGGCTTTACTATTACCCAAGTGTCTCCCCAGAAGACAAACTTGTAAGTTTGATCTTCACTGTTTCCAACTGGCACATGTTTCTCCCCACGCCTTCTCTCCATTTCCCTTTATTAAATATCCAAATAAAAGAATTAGGCTTCTATTTAAACATGGGAAAGTCTTATAGATGCCAAGGGAAGTCTCTGTGGACCTGCTGGGGACCATGGGCAGGTACTGTGTTGGGGAGCCTAGTGTGGACAGTAAGAAATGGCCCTTCATTTGGTGGTGATGTGAGCACATTTGTTCAGGTGTTATTTGGTGGCTGGATCACAAACAGAAAGGACCCTTCTGTCTTCAGGTCAGGTAAAGGACATTCAGTTTGGCCTTGCACAATGAGCATGATGGAAGCTCTCCTTCACATCTCTAGAAAACAAAGTCAAAGGGTTTTAGTTGTTTTGGTTTTAGAAGCTGAAGTTCCAGTGAATGAGACCGACAGAAATCGTAGGCCATCTGGAGGGCACTGGGCTTATGAAATATTTTATTTCCATTTTCATCTTCCTTCCTCACCAGACCATCAACTCCCTCATACTGTAAAACCTCAGGCATTCTGTATTCCAGATCTTCAGTGTGAGGTTGCAGTAATTTGAAAAAACAAACGAGAATTAAAAATCCATATGCTATGGGAACTGTTCTTTATTTGCATAGCCTAATGCATTTTGGACAAGCTCAAACAACTGCAGACATTTAAGCGGCATGCTGAGGGTGTGTTTTTGGGTAGGCTCCTGTTCCTGATGACATGAAATCAGGATGTTGCATGAACATCTTGCCTGGAGCACCCCAACAATTCTCCTGGTGCAACTACAAAGAACAATTAACAATCACAAATTCCCAGAAGCAGTGAAAATGAGAATAATTGTTCCCTTCTATCAATCCCCAGCTGCCAGACACTGGAGTGAGAACTATTGGGAACCGGGTCAAAAGCAATTCCACCACTATGCAGCATTCTTAATTAAGATAGAAAAAGACTTCTCAGTGGGGCTGGCACTAAAGTTTCCATGCCAGATGATCAGATAAGTATCTTTTTTTTTTTTTAAGTTAACCCCACTATTGAAGCTTGGTTATACCTCTCTCAGTAAACTGGGCTGATCTTTCCTGTGATAAAATAAGATCTCTAATGTATTCTTGGAGAAAAACTGGGAGATACGCTCAAATTAACTTATGGCTGCCTCGGTTTTGTTTCAGGGACATGAAAGTAGCAAAATTTCAGTGTCCAATTCTGATCCACTTGTGCAACTGATAAGGTAAGTTCCACCGACTTAGGTCTGAAAGATGGCAAATTTGTTTTCGTTTCATTAAATGTGAAAAGGTATTTTTCTTGCATTAAGTGTTAATTGCACTGTTAAAGAATTATTACTGTTTAACTTGTTGCAAAAGGCAACTGGACTTTCTTGAGTGTTTGTTTTTTGTCTTTGAAAATGTTTCGCTTCTCATCCAAGAAACTTCTTCAGTTCAAGTTTCTTGGATGAAAAGCGAAAAGTTTTCAAAGAAGAAAAAAATAACCTAAGAAACTCTAGTTGTCTTTTGGAAAAAAAAAACATTATTTGGACACCAAACTATTACACTTTTTATACCTTTGAAAAAAAGAAAAAAATGTACTAATTGGATTTAATATGTGTAATCTACATATATATTAAATGTGAAAATTGAGGAACCCTCTCCACGTATAAGTTATAAAACACTCTAATCACAAACATTTATGCTCTAATAAATATTTTTCTTTCAGCTAAGCAAGACTTGTTTTCCATGACACAATTCTCCGACCTTCAAATTAAAATGATTGAGCAGGACAATTACAGGAAGGAAGCTGTTCAACTGGACTTAATTAAGAAATCTCATCTCATTTTTTTGTAAAAGGTCTATATAATTCCTTTATAACACATACTTACCCAAAAGGAAATATTATTGTGTGTTCTAGCTGCTAAGATTTGGAGCTCCCTGAAAGCTATTCATTTTTATTTCTTGCTTACGTAAGTCCAAATCCCCAGCTCTTTAAAAAGTTCTAAACACTGAAGTCTCATGAAGAATTATTTTGTTTTCCTCGCTGCTCTCTATGTCTGTTTGTTGTATTAATAAACGTACATAGTTTTGAACTGCAAAATGGTTGGTAATAATAATAATAATTGAAAGACTCTTTCAACATTTCATTCAGTCCAATAACACTGAATGAGATGTGTTCAAAATATTCTCACTGGCAGTATGGAGAATCCTGACAGCTGCTTAACCCAACTCTTTATGACTGATGTAAATTGACAGCTGCATAGCTCTGTCTTTGTATATAAGAAAATAATTAAGTGAGCACTAAAATTCTTTTGGAGTACTGTCATAGGGTCCTCGAAAGGTTAAAATTAAAATTCAGAGAAAGATTTTGATTTGTACAGGTCAGTGGGAAAAAACAATCCCTAGAATTTTAAGGTCGATATATCCTTAATGTATGAAAATAATTTTTCCTCTTCTCAAATGTGGACTGATATGAGCTTCATGTTAACAACAGAGTAGCTGATTTACTTAATTATCTGTTTCTGGTTTAAAATTATATTTGTCTGTTTTAATTTTTGTCATAATAAATCAGTTGTTCAAACTTTAGGTCTTGTATAGACTATCAGAAGAACTTCAATATATCTCATTTGAACCATGACTAACAAAAACAACAAACTACAGTATAAGGAGGTGCCAGCAGGTTCCATACAGAAATCAAGATAGTGGTGTACAGTCTTGTTGAGAAAATTATACTGTGTAGTAATTATATGATTTTGAAAGAGTATGTAAGAATAAATTAACTGATGGATAATATGGATAAGCATCTTTCTTCTCTTAACTTCCCTCAGGACCCAACTTGATATCATTGGAAAGTCAATGAGAAAGTTATTGTTACCACCAGTAGACTTACTCTCTATTAATTTCTATACAAACATCTATTAGTGATCAACATGCCTTGGGGGCAGTGTGTCATTGACGTGGTGAATGTCCTGTCATCAGTTATTTCATGGCTGAACAAACCTGTCTTGGCCTGAAGATCACATGACAATTTGTGATTAGTCCTCTGAGCATGGCATGAGTAAGGTGAGGTGAAAATGGATGCAATCAAAGCAGAAGGTTGGCACCTACAGACTAGAAGCAACTTTATTTTGGAATACCATCCACTTTTCTCATAAAATAACCCTGAGTTCCTCTAATGTTAATTTCAACTTAATTAGGGGCATCATGATCCACATGACCAGCTTGTTCCAGTGCAAGTGTGGGCCAGTAACCATAAGGTTGCATCCAGTCCCTTCTTTTTCTGCTAAGCACTGAGAATAGTCTTTTTGACTTGTGCAAGCTCAAACAATGCTCTCTAGTTTGCTGGGTACATCATTTCACTGTAGACAAACACCTCTACTCAACTGACTTGCACTGCTCTGGCAGGAAGGGCCAACACCTCTACTCAACTGACTTGCACTGCTCTGGCAGGAAGGGCCACCCTTCTCTTCATCAGTTGCCAATTTCCAAGCACATTTTTAGAGGTTCGATCAATCAAGCAATCAAAATAGAGTGGAAAGGACCTTGGAGGTCTTCTAGTCCAACCCCCTGCTCAAGCAGGAGACTCTACCATTTCAGACTGATAGCTTCCAGTCTTTTCATAAAAACCTCCAGTGATGAAGCACCCACAACTTCTGAAGGCAATCTGTTTCACTGGTTAATTGTCCTCACTGTTAGGAAGTTCCTCCTTAATTCCAGGTTGCTTCTCTCTTTGATCAGTTTCCATCGTTTTTTGTCCTGCCTTCTGGTGCTTCAGAAAATAAGTTGACCCCCTCCTCTTTGTGGCAAATACTGGAATACTGCTATCATGTCCCCCCTTCTCCTTCTTTTCTCTAGACTAGCCCTACCCAATTCCTGCAACCGTTCTTCATATGTTTTAGCCTCCAGGCTGTTAATCATGATTGTTGCTCTTCTTTGCACTTTTTCCAAAGTCTCAAAATCATCACAGTACAGTGAAAAACTAGGCTATTTTGCAGAGAAATAGTCCCATCCTTTGCTGATGAAATACAGGTAGTCCTTGACTTATCAGCATTCATTTAGCAACCTTTCAGAATTACAACAGTCCTGAAAAAAGTGACTTATGACCTCTTGCAATTCCCGTTGTAGCATCCCCTTGATCACACTAATCAAAAATTCAGGTGCTTGGCAATGGGCATGTATTTATGATGGCTGTAGCATCCTGGCTTCTGACAAGCAAAGACAATGGGGGAGGCTGGATTTGCTTAACCACCACATGATTTGGTTAACAATTGCAGTGATTTACTTAACAAGCATGACAACAGGTGGTAAAATCAGGTGTGACTCACATAGCTTCCTTGCTTAGCAACAGAAATTATGGTTGTAATTGTGGCCATTAAGTTGAGGATTACCTGCAGTTAAACACTGGGCCAAGTTTTTGTCTCCCAAGTTTTATGAATTCATTGATGAAGCAATGAAAAGGTGAACAGTGGATCAGAGAATCATGTTCCATTCTGATTTTTTTTTTTTTTTGAGGTGTAGTAAAATCTGAATGAAGTGTGTGCCCAGTGAACTAACTGTTAAGTCTTAGTGGATTCATTGAGATCCACTTTCAAGTGCATCACAGAAGAATGTAGTCTTAAGCATATATAGGTAGCCCTTGGGTTATGATGCCAATTGGGATCAGGACTGCTATCGCTAAGTGCTGTCAAGCATAATCTCACATGACTGCATTGCTGAGCGACAGCAATGTTTTTCAACGAGAACAGACAGGAGTCCCAAGGAAGAAGTGCAGGGGGTATATGAATGTTGGGGGGGGGGCTGCTGCAGTGGCCACTAGGAAATGGATTGGTGGTGGGAACCCTGGAGTGCGTCAGTGGATGCCCTATGGAAGGTATGGAGAGCAGGTGTGCACTATGGAGCGGGGGCTGCTGTGGGGCGACTTATTGGAGCAACTTGCAATCTTCCCTACCGGCTTCCCCATTGACTTTGCTTCCAACATTTACCTTTTTTAATTCTATGAACAGACCCCTAAATGTGCATATGCTAAAGAAAAATGCACGGACATATCTTTTATGGCAGCCCTCCTTAAGCTGGTGTCGTCCAGATCCTTTGGATTTCAACCCCACAATTCTCACTTAGCCTCTGGCATCAGGCTCTGAAAGGTTAGTCTGAAGCCGCTTTTGGGGCATATACTGGAGTGATGGAGCAATGTGTACAGTAATTGCTTGTTTGTAAGCCAAGGATCCAGTTGGGAACTGTCACTTCTGAGACAATTGCATAAAACAGTCTGGCCTTTTTTTTGTGCATTGAGACGGGGAAAGAGGTAATTGGGTCAAACAGTTTCAAGATCTACTGGCTTAGTCAATAATGTGGTTGGTGGTGTAGTCTGAAGATGGCATCTGCCCAGTTGCTATTAGTCACTGGAGGCTGCATCAGGCATGCTCTGTCTCTCTGTGACCATTTCAGGTTGGGCATCAGGATTAAGCAGAGTTCTGCCCACTTAATGCAAAGTATTGATCACTCTTAATGCAAGCTCCTTCTGCATATGATTTTATGAGCTCTCGGTCCCTTGTTCCCTGGTCACTTATCATTTGGATTACTGCAATGCGCTCTACATGGGGCTACCCTTGAAGAATATTCAGAAGCTACAACTGACACAGAATGCAGCAATGTGGACAGTTCTGAATGCTCCTAGGGAGGCGCATGTAACACCTCCTTCACCATGTGCCTCCTCCATTCCTGTAGCCAGTCAATCAGTCTCTCTCTCTCTCTCTCTCTCTCATTCTCTCTCTCTCTCTCTCTCTCTCTCTCTGTGTGTGTGTGTGTGTAAATAGTCAAGCTAACAATCAAAGGTTCAGGGAACCATCTTTTTTTACTTGCAGAGACACTCATAAAAAAGAGTCAAGAGTTTTCATCATGCAATTGTAGCTGACTTTTTTTTTTTTTTACTTGTTTCACACCCACCCACACCACTCCACACATGAACGTCTCTGCAGGCTAGCTTGAAACACAGGGTTAGCACTCTTCAGAGAAACAGTCCAATATGCCATAACCTTCAGCACACCTGCCCCCAGTCACCCAGTGCCTCCTCTTCACACATCCAGAACAGTTGGAGCCTCTCCCAGTTGGAAGGGAAGTGAAGGCTGGCAAAAACTTCGGTTGCATTCCTTAATTTCTCCAGGATGAGCACTGTAAGAGGGTACTTACTCATCAGCCTCCTTACTGAGCATAGGGCTCAGCAAGCAGTGCCTGCAATTATACAGGAGCTCACTTCTCGGCCAACCTCTCGAATTAGAAGGCAGCCCTTTAATGTGGCTCATCTGGCTGTGTCCCAAGTCAAAAGAAAATCCCCGCAAAGTTCGCTGCCTCCCTTGGTAAACATGCCTTACTTTGAAGTAACAGCTTCCTTCCACTCCAGCCAGGCCAGCTGACTGGAAGGCGTCGACCGACTCGATTCCTTTAAGCGCGCCTGGAACTGAATCCGGTAGAAAAAGACGAAGGTTAGAATAGGCGGAGATGCCGCCCGCTATCTCGGGGAGGGCTAGTCGGCAGTAATCGCAGGGTAAAGGAGCTCGAACTCCAAAGATCAACTTCCTGACTTTTTCCTTGCGGGCGGCCCAGTCGGATCCTCAACTAGGTGTGGAACTCGCGGAGTGGCTTGGAGGAGCATCTCCGGGCGCCATCCAAACTGGACCTATTTCTTCGGGGCTGCTTTCTGATTGATTGCCCGAAACGCGTGGAAAATCTGCTTTCACTGACGACCATTCCTCCCGCGGATTCACAATTTGAAAGAAATCGCCCAGGGGCGCTCCTGCTTGGCGGGGCCGGGGCGCCCTCTCTTACGTCACCTCTGACTTAAGGCGGGTTGCTGGCCAAGCAGGGCGGTGGGGCTCGGCGCTGTACGGCACTTCGCGCCCGGTTTCTTCTCCCTTGCTTCCCTTCCCAAACCAACCATGCCGGTTACCTGCGGCCCTCGGAGCCTGGCGGGCGCGCTGCTCTTCTCCGCCCTGCTGGCCGCGGCGGGAGCGGAGGGCGGCTGTGCTGAGCTGGGACGCTGCTGCGCGGGCAGGAGCCTGGAGTGCGCGAGCACCGGTTGGCGACCCGACAGATCCTACGGGCTCTGCTACTGCGACCAGGCTTGCCTTTCCACCCTGGACTGCTGTAGCGACTACCGGCACTTCTGCCCAGGTGGGTCTCCGCGCGGCCCGGATTGGGTGGGCAGGGACCCGGCCAGGTGAGCGGGCCTGGAGGGAGAAGGGCTGGCGCCCGCCTGCTTTCCCCGCGCTCTGCTTAGGAGCTGTTTTGTCTCCACGGCTTCTTCTCCTCTCCCGCGCTCGGATAGCAGCTGCTGTGCCTTGTAGGCTCCACTCCAGCGCCGTGGCGAGTGGCCTGGCAGCTCTGCGAGTTTTCCCAGCCCGCTGTTCCGACGACTCCCAGAAAGTGATTTTTTTTGGGGGGGGAGGGGGCAATGTTGGAACCTCACAGTCGCCATACAAGTGGAGGAGGCTGGGTAAGATTGGGGGCGACTGGAGTAGGCAACAGCTTATGCTTAGAGAGTCTGTGTTTTTTTTTTTTTTGTCATCTTTTGGTCCCTTGGTTAAAAATGGGGGATTTTCAGTTGTGCCTTCCAAGGAGGACCAGTTGTAAGTCACTTTTTTCAATAGCATTGTAACTTTGAACGGTCACTGAACAAATGGTTGTAAGTCAAGGACTACTTGTACATTGCCAAAAAGCTTCAGGGGCTAATCTAGGCAGTTGCCAGGAGCTGACATTTATTCTAAGGCAGTACAGAGACATTCAAGCTTTTACTGAAATTTTACACCACAGTTCTTCACATTTGAAGGTCATATTAGAATACATTTAGCTTTAGAGCAGTGATTCTCAACCTGTGGGTCGGGATCCCATTTGGGGTCGAACGACCATTTCACAGGGGTCGCCAAACAACGCAGTCCGCCATTTTCCCCCCCTTTTCCTTAGCTGTGCTACTCCCTTTTATTCTATTGGCTTTTGAAAGCCAAGAGAATAGACTCTCTTGAATAGAGTCTAATTCTATTGGCTTTCAAAAGCCGATAGGAATTGTCCAGGCTGTCTCTGCCCTGCTGAGCCCACCAAAAGTCCCATTCTGCAAACGGTGCTGCACCAGTTGCGTAGTCCTCGACTTACCACCGGTTGAGTAGTCCTCAACTTACGACCGGTTGGGGGGTCGCGGCATTAAAAAGGTTGAGAACCACTGCTTTAGAGCAATCTTGGCTTGACAGCAATTGTGGCAAGAAAGGTCATAAAATGGGACAAAACTCAATAACTGTCTTGCTTAGCAGTGAAAAATTTGGGCTAAATTGTGATCATAAGTCAAATACTATCTGTATATATTTTCTTTTGCCTTCTTTTACTCTTTACAGTATTTTATTTTTTCCATTGACATTGTCTCTAGTTTCAAAGCATCTGTCTCATTTTCTGGTGCCCTCCAGAAAAGTTTTGCAACTCCCACTATCCCCAGCCAGAGGGAAATGCTTAGCCTGAAAATAATTATTGAAGCTGCTCTTTAGGACAGCCTTCCAATCTGGTGCCTTGAAAATGATCACTTGACTATGAGCCAGCAGTGTGCAGCAGCTGCCAAAAAAGCTAATACAATCCTGGGTTGTATAAACAGAGGCATAGAATCAAGATCATGCGAAGTATTAGAACCGCTTTATAAAACCCTAGTAAGACCACACCTGGAATACTGCAGCCAATTTTGGTCATCATATCACAAAAAAGATGTTGAAAATTTGGAAAAAATTCAGAGAAGGACAACTAAGATGATCAAAGGCCTGCGGGACTTGGGTTTGGCTAGTCTAAAGAAAAGAAGAAATACAGGAGACATGATAGCAGTATTCTAGTATTTGAGGGGTTGCCACAAGGAAGAAGGGGTCACGTTATTCACCAGAGCACCAGAGGGAAGGATGAGAAACAATGGTTGGAAACTGATCAAAGAGAGAAGCAACTGGAATTAAGGAGAAACTTCCTGACAGTGAGGACAATTAACCAGTGGAACAGCTTGCCTCCAGAAATTATGGGTACTCCATCACTGTAGATTTTTAAGAAGAGATTATTCACTTGTCTGACATGGTATAGGTTCTCCTGCTTGAGCAGGGACTAGAAGACCTCCACGGTCCCTTCCAGATTCTATTCTATTCTATTCTATTCTATTCTATTCTATTCTATTCTATTCTATTCTATTCTATTCTATTCTATTCTATTCTTATTCTTATTCTTATTCTTATTCTTATTCTTATTCTTATTCTTATTCTTATTCTTATTCCTATTCCTATTCCTATTCCTATTCCTATTCCTATTATTTCTATTTCTATTCCTATTCCTATTCCTATTTCTATTCTAGATCTACTTGGAATTCTGGAAGTCATAGGCCTGCTTTATGTGGATAGTACTACAGTTGGGAAGGCCATGAGGGCTGGAATCTTGGTTTAAGGTATAAAAACAAAGAAGCCTCAGGCTATGCTCAATCTGGCTGTGTAATTCACCTACTGTAACTGTAGTCTCCTTCATCACAAGTTCATTTTGTGATATAAATGATTTCTGTACCAACAGACCTATAAATGAATTAATTTCTATGGTTCTTCCTCCCCAAACTGGTTATTACAACCATTGAAAGTCTATTTTTTGATAACCAATCAAAGGTTGATTTAAGTATGTACTGTATTGTATCCTCTAATACTGCCATCTTCTGGTGTTCTGTTGGTATAGCACAATCTTTGGAGTAGAATAAGATCAGTGATTTGCAATAGTGGCGAATATCAATGACCTCTGTGTTTCTTGTAAAGGTCAGTGGAATGTTTGTTTGCAAAGTACTTATGATCTTTATATTTGATTTCTCTCTCTCTGGAATTCTCTAAGCGAACTCATTTAAATTCCATGTCATCTTGCTTTGCTAAAGATCAAAGTGATTTAGCCCAGTTTTCACAATTGTCTCTACTTAGGTCTGCAACTTATAGACTTCTCAACTAGTACTGCCAAATGATTTACTTTGGGTTCAGCAGGAAAACTCAGAAGATACTTCCTTTATAAAACACTGAACTGGTATACAGTACATGCAAGCACAGCCATGGTTTATGTACTGCAAGTTTTATTGACAGTCACAGTTGGCTGCGTTATCAGAACTAATGAAATGGAGTATAAAATGTCAGTGAAGGAGCAAGGAGATTGAAATTCTGATTTATCCCCAACCACAGAAGCCAGCTGACGACTTTGGTCCAGTCACTCCCTCTCTGCTATAATCAGTATCAGGCTCTGAAACAAGCTAGCTGAAAAACAAAACCCTGTTGGCATCACGTACTGATACGCTTTGCTGAATTAGGTGAGCACAAAACAGGGTGACCCTGCAGCTAAGGGAGATACTTACTAAGAACAAGAACAATTCTGTCAGCCTCACAAAAATTGCTCTTGTGGGGAAGATAGGAGAAAGGGCTATGTGTGAAGCCTTGAGCTCCTGCATGAAAGGTGGGACAGTTTTTTAAAACAAACAAACAAACAAACAAACAAACAAACCCTGATTTACAAATCTCAGTGACTGGATTTGTGCCATGCACTAACTAAAACCACTTTGTGTCTTGGAGGGTTTCGAGAAGCTAATCAATTTTTGAACGTTAAAGTTGAAAATACAGAATAAAAAACCATGCAGCTTGCTAGATAGCATTGGGCCCATTATTCTGTTTCAGCTTCACCTATTCACATGATTGTTTTGGGGATAAAATTGGAGGAAACCTTGTGATGCATTGCTTTGAACTCAGAAAAGATGGGATAGAAATGTAATAAATAGGTAGGTGAACATGGATTATAGTGCTTCATCTTGCAGCTGGGAAATCACATTTATGAATATTCCCCCTGTAAATGAATTCTTTAGTTAGAAAACCAGCATAACAGAGACATTTAGAAAGTCTTTTTAACATCTGGAGGTTTTGTTTGCAGTTAAGTCTATCAGCCTCAATATGTAAACTAAGCCTTTGTTCTAAAATACTATCTAAATAATAGGCAGTCCTTCATCTATGGCAGTGGTTCTCAACCTTTTTAATGCCGCGACCCCCAACCGGTCATAAGTCGAGGACTACTCAACCGGTCGTAAGTCGAGGACTACTCAACTGGTGCAGCACCGTTTGCAGAATGGGACTTTTGGCGGGCTCAGCAGGGCAGAGACAGCCTGGACAATTAGACTCTATTCAAGAGAGTCTATTCTATTGGCTTTCAAAAGCCAATAGAATAAAAGGGAGTAGCGACTTCCGGTGGTTCCAGCGTCGATGATGGCGGGGTTTTACAAAGCCGCCCGTTCCTGGTCCGTGTAAAAGCCGCGGGACTTTGACAATCAGCTGTCCTGCGGCTTGAATCTCCTCCCTGGGAAAAAGGGAGGAGGAGAGCTCTCAGGTAGAGGTAAGAGCTCCCCTGGATCCCTGTTATTTTGGGGATCAGAGGGTAGAGCTCCCTCGGAGCCTGAGCAATCTCCGCGTTCCAGGGAGCCTTCATCCCGAAGCTTTGGGATGAAGCAAGCTGCCGCTTCCACATCTACTTTTTTCAGCTGCTTGTGAGTATTTGAAAGCAGACAGAGCAGACCAGGAGAGACTGTGCTCAAGTTTGATGGTGCCTTTAACTTCAGCAAGTTTCCTCTTCTTCTTCTTTTGCTCACTTTCCCTTTAGAAGAAAGGGAAAGTGAAAAGTAAAATCAGTCTTTCTTGCCTGATTTGCGTTACAAAGTAAAACCTGGATATAGACTAACTCTTTAAATATAGAAGTAAGAATTTGGCTTTTATTCTTTCTTCTTTTTTCTTTTTTTTTTTTAAAGAATATTTAAAAGAACTGTGATTTTTTTTCCTTTTTTCTTTTTTTTCCAATAAGAATCTTTCTTCTTGGAACTTAAGAAAATGGCTTCAAAACGCCTGCCTCCCGCCCCTAAAGTTCCTATTTCTTCTCCAATGCCTCAGCCTGCTTCTCAGAAACCAAAATCACCTCCACCTTCTCCTCCTCCTCCTGCAATTTCTCTTAATGATTTACAAGAAGCTTTAAAACAGCATGCCCTGGATATTAAGGAGGAAGTAAAAGATCTTATAATTGCAGAGAGGGCTAATACAGAAGAATTATTGGAGAAAAAGAACAAGCAAGGGACCATATACTTTTTGCTTTTCAGGGCCTTGCCCTGCATATAGAGAGGATTGATGACAAGATGGAAGAGATTACTGAAAATGCAGCAAGAATGGAATATAGGATGCAGGAGGTAGAGAACAAGATAGAAATTACACAGGATGAACAAATCATTTCACAATATAGAGAGATGGAATATGCATTGCGTATCAGGGGCCTGAGAGAGAATTCTCAGGAGGACTTAAAGATGCTTATTGTGAAAGATATTGCTCCTAATATTGGCTGGAGGTCTGAAATAATTGAGAATGAGATAGAAAAATTTTTTAGAGTCAACTCACAGGTTGCCAGACAGAGAAATTTACCAAGAGATGTGGTTATTTATTTTTCCAGAAGATCTATTCGTAATGAAATTATACAGGCTTTTTACAAACAAAAGTTTCAAATTGCTGATCAAGATGTGATAATTTTAAAAGAAATACCTCCAAAAATTTTAAGAGCCAGAAAAGATTTTACTTTTTTGTCTGATGAGCTAAAACATCGTCAAATTCAGTTCAGATGGGAGATTCCAAGGGGATAAATTTTGATAAAATCTCGTATAAAGAATTGTTAATTTGCTCTGGTTCGAACTGGCATTTGAAATCCCTAGATGTATTAAGGCAGGAAAATATTCTACAGTCATGGTTTCAATATTTACAAATAGTGGACAGATGGACTGTAGATAAGAAAGAGGGAATAACATCAGAAGATCGACAATTGGTTATTCAGATTAAAAATCAAAGTCCGGCTCATATAAAAAGAATATACAATGTCTTATTAGAGTTAGACTCGGAAACAGAATTGGTTAAAGATTGTATGATTAAATGGGCTCAGAATATACAGGAACCGATCTCATTGGATTTATGGGAGACAATTTGGACAAGAAATGTTAAATTTACACAAGCTCAAAATTTGAGAGAAAATTTTTATAAAATGTTTTATAGATGGCATTTAGATCCTAAAAAATTATCTTGTATGTACTCCAGTATACAGCCCAAATGTTGGAGATGTGGCAATAATGATGCGACATACTTTCATATTTGGTGGAATTGTAAAAAAGTAAAGGCTTTTTGGATTATGATTTGGTGGAACATTCAAAAGATTTTTAGAAGAAAGATAAAGTTTACTCCTCAATTATTTTTACTTGGTATTTTCGTTGACTTAAATGAAAAAGAAACTACTTTGATGTTGAATTTATTAACCGCAGCAAGGTTATTAGTAGGTTTATACTGGAAGAAAGATTCTTTGCCTACTTTAGAAGAATGGATATTTAAAGTATCTAGTTTTGCAGAAATGGCAAAAAATTCTGCTTATTTAAAGGATCATACACAAGAAAGATATATCATTGTATGGAGAAGATGGATAGATTATATTCAGAAAAAGTATGGAATTAAAAAGTTTCATTTATTTTATGAATGAATATTAAATATTATAGAGAATTGTTTTATAGGTTATGGAGTTAAAGGTTAATTATGACATTTTTTTTCTTTTCTTTTCTTTTTTCTTTTCTTTTTTTTCTTTTTTTTATTATTATAAATTTTGTTATTATTAACCCTGTATTCTGCTCTGGGAAGTGAAGGGAGGGGGGTTGGGGGTGGGAGGGAGGGTAAGGGGGGGTAAAGGTAGTATAGACAATGGTTGCTTATGAATTTATTTTACTTTAAAATTTTATTGTATTTTTATAATGTTTGTATGTTAAAAAATAAAAATTTTCAATAAAAAAAAAGAATAAAAGGGAGTAGCACAGCTAAGGAAAAGGGGAAAAAAATGGCGGACTGCGTTGTTTGGCGACCCCCGTGAAATGGTCGTTCGACCCCAAATGGGGTCCCGACCCACAGGTTGAGAACCACTGATCTATGGCCATAGTTGTGACCAGAATTACTGTTGCAACGCAAGGTGGTTGTTAAAGCACCCAGTTTTATAACCTTTTTTTGTCATTGTGGTTAAACAAACTGCAGTCATTAAGTGAATCATGCATTTGTTAAGCAAATCTGGCTTCCCCTATTGACTTTGCTTGTCAGAAGCCGGCTGGGAAGGTTGCAAATGTCAATCACAAGTCCTGAGACACTGCAAAAATCGTAAATATACACCAGTTGCCAGGTGTCCAAATTTGATCATGTGACTGTGGGGATGCTGCGATGGTCATAAGTGCAAGGACCGATTGTAAATTACTTTTTTCAGTGCCATCAATGGTTATAACTCGAGGACAGCCTATAAACCATACATGCTCAGATCTGAATTCTCCTTCTGGGATGTTCACCTGATACCGCCCAGGATGGATCACAGCTTTTTAGAAGTAGCTTCTTATTCTTTCTGCAGACACCTCCTGCCTGGTCTCTGACTGGAGTGAGTGGAGTGGATGTGCTGAACGCTGCAAGGCGACCTACCGCCTCCGAAGGAGACACGTGATCCAGAAGCCCAGAAATGGTGGAGAAGCCTGTCCTCCTCTTGAAGAAAAGGCCGGCTGTTTGGAGTATTGGACTCAGCAAGGAACATTGTGCAAGGACTCCATCCGTAAGTGAGGGAAGGCAGTCCAAATCCTCACTTAAGTATATTTAAGAGGGCAACGACAGGGGCAATCTTTTTTGGAGTATTTATTATGGCCATTATTTTTATATTGCATAATACTAAATGTCAGTTTGAGAGATGGGTCTGATTCCGCTAAGGACAGAGACTATTTCAAATAACAGCTGGATATTACATGGCCCAGCTCTGGGAAGGAATAAGCAAGCGGGCATAGGCAGCTTTTGGGTTCTTACGTGACATGGACAGTGTTATAGCCCCCACTCTATAATTACTTTAATTGGAACTTATCTTCCATGATGTTATTGCAAGACTTTCCCAGGAGCATAAAAAAGCAATATTAAATATAATTTTGTTCTCACTTTATCCTTTAGTTTCCAGCAAAGGGCAACTGCCTTTGGGATTAGTCCTGCAAGAATCAGATGCTACCTCTGGGCTAAATATCATAATTATCGTGCAGGGCCCCTATGACCAGATAGAAAGAACCTCCAGGTAGATGGATCCTTTCCTACCAAGCTTAGGAACAATTCAGGCAGAATCCAATCAAGAGTCACTGGTGATAGTAAAGTTGCTGCTCTGCTCTAAATATCTTAAAGGTTATTCACGCAAGAGTGAGCAGACCTCTGCTGAAACCAAGAATAGGACAAGGACAAGGAAAAAGATTTAAAAGAAAGGAGATACTGGCTATCAGAAATAATTTATTAATGGTAAGAGCTGTTAAGTAGTGGAATGATTTATCTAGAGCAGCCCTGGTTTCTCCCCATTGGGCGTTTTCAAGGAGGTTAAATGATTACCTGCTGGAGATGATTCATTGCATTCTGGTGTAAACTGGGGTTTGGAGTAGATTAATGGAACATTCCAATTCATACATATTTTTATGATCTGTTCTAGCGTTTTAGAAGGCATGCTGAGAAATTCATGTTATATTGACATGAATTAATTAGCCAAAGTAGGAATGGTATTGTACCCTTATGCCTATTTGGTTGTAATCATAATGAAGCATCGTTTCCATCTGCATCTGAACTTCATCCTATTTAATTTATCACTTCCAGTTCTTTGATGAACCAAGGAACAGGCTGGACTTTAGAGTTGGTCAATTTTTATGGTGTTCATTGAGATCCATTAAACTCTAAGGGATAAACCAGTTTAACAGCTCCACAATTATTGTGGTGGGAGTAGGTATATTGCCTGTCTGATTTCTCCAGATAATGATTTATGATAATGATATAGATCTGTACTTTGGTCCAAAATCAACATTGAGAGTATTTTCTGCAAGATATGTTGAGCCAATGGCATAAGCTCAGGACAGAATGCCTCTTCAGATATTAATGGTTACATCACACCTTCGTCTTTGCAGCTCAAGGCTGTTGGGAATTATAGTTCCACAACAAGTGGAGGAGCACAAGTTCCTCATCTCAGGCATATGGGAATACTTGTATCATGGCAGCTATGAAATCTTGAATTGGCTTCTAAAGTATCAATGAATACTGAGATTCCCTAGAACAGGGGTGTAAAACTCAATTTCATTGAGGGCCGCATCAACATTGCGGTTGCCTTCGGGGCCAGGTGGGTGTGGCCAGGGTGAGTGCGGCCTACTGGGTGGGTGTGGCCAGCTCTACATCATTCACATCAAGGATGCCTATGGGGGCCTGGGCAAGAGTGGGACAGATCTGAGGGTCTCTGGCAGAAGGGGGTGGGACCAGAGCAAGTGCCAAGGCATAGTCCACTGGAGGAACCTCACTGTTCCTCTCTGGCCATGCGGGGGGGCTGGATGGTGGCGTGGGCTGCCCAGAGCCCTGGGCAGCAGAGGTTAAATGCCCAGCCTGGCCCTCGAGCACCTGCAACACAAGTCGTTTCCAGACAGCCTTGTGGAGCTAAGACTGAATATGTTTCAGCATAGATGGCCACCACAAAATTGTACATTGGCTCCTGGCTGGCCTGGGCCAGGTTGAAGACAGTGGGGACTGTTCCCTCACTGTTTCCAGGATGGCTTCGCGGGCCACATGAAACCACTTTGCGGGCCGCATCCGGCCCTCGGGCCTTGTGTTTGACACGTCTGCCCTAGGAAACCAGTCAGAAAATGGTTAGGCCAGGGGTAGGCAATCTTGGCTCTTTTATGACTCGTGGATTTCAACTCCCAGAATTCATCACTGGCTCAGGAATTCTGGGAGTTGAAGTCCATGAGTCATAAAAGAGCCAAGGTTGCCTACCCCTGGGTTAGGCAGTTGTACCTCTATATCAGCAGAATTCATGACATGATACTCTAGCTCAGGAAGAAGAGCAAATGGGTCCCTTACTGAAGAATTTGTATAAGTGAAAGCAGTGCTGTTTCTTAGCTGGTTCAAATAGGTACGGCTATATGAGAAACAATAAAAAATGTTTTTTTCCAGGTCTGTGTTAAAAAGTTTAATTAGTTAAGGTGAACTATTTTTTCCTTAAAAAAACAAAACACGATTGAGACCGAAATAAAATTTATGGGCTGGTGATCAATTCAAATGGATTGTATTGCTACCAAACTATGGTGGATTATTAAAATAACTTCCTTCCTTCTAGAATGATAATAAGTAGGCCTGTTCCAAAAAGAAAGAAAAGGGAAGAAGATTTCCCGATTCTATAGTTGATGAATAATTATTTGTGACCAGGAACTGTGGGAGAAAATTTATGTTTGGTTTCCCACTTGCAAACAAAAACAAGGCATTAAACTCCATGAGCATCCCAGTCTTGGTTATTCTACTGATGTAAGTGAGTTTTAGAGTGCAGTTTTCACTGACTGTGGTTGTTGTGGTTTTTATTCCTCCCCTTCATGTAATCAGTCCCAGCATTAATAACCACTGGAGGCTATGGGAAGGCAAGGAGAAAGCGTGCTGTGCTCAGCGGGAGACAAAGAATTGGGTAAGTTCTATATTTCAGCACTGAAAGTCCTATTGTTTGGCCTCTTTTAGTCTCATTGAACTGCATGGTGAATGATAGTACTGTAGTTAACAATCTCAATACTGAGAGACTTTATAGTCTTAAGTGCATGTCCCTTAAGTGCATGTTGAAGTTCCAACAACTACTGTCCCTCCCCCGTCCTGTAATCACAATCTGATTGCTTGGCAACTGGCCCTCATTTATGGCTGTTTGCAGCATCCTGTAATCATGATTTATGATCTTTTTGCCAGAAACCAGTTTACTTTTTGTTTCTGGTAAAAACCATTCATGGAGGACAATGGATTTGCTTAATGACTGCTGTGTTCACTTAACAACTACCGCAAAAAAAGTCATAAAATTGTGCACGTTCATATGGTAAACTGCTTAATGACCAGTATGGCATAATTTTCAGTCATTATTAAAATTTAAATGAAAGAGCAGTGCAGTGACCTAGAGATGAAGATGTTCGCCTTCCGCTCAGAAGGTTGAGAGTTCAATCCTAGGCAGCAGCAGATGTTTCTCTGTCAGGGTGCAAAAAGTAAATATCTGCTACAAACTCTATGTAGGTCTCAGTAAATGTTCAGCTCCATTCAGTTGTTCTGACTCCACCCTGAGACAAAGGAATTATAGGATTGTAATGAAAAAATAAAATTAAATTAAAATTGACCTAACCCTGCTTACTATATAGGTATGTTACTGAAAAAGGTGAAAATAGTTGTAGATCCCTGGCAACTGGACAGAAGACTTTAAATATAGGATCCACCAGTAAAAATCCCTAAAATAAATGACATTGATACAGGAAGCTGTAAGTAAAGTGGTCCTTAGATTTTATCTTTGCAGGATAAGAGTGAATGAGAAGGATTACATGGCACATGCACACAGAAGAAAAAATGTTGGGGAAAGTATGCAAAAATTCTGTAGTCTATATTTTTTATGTGCATAGTTTTCTTCAAACATTTTTCTTTAACATTTAGAAGCAACTTTACTAGTTGTGTGAATTAGGTCAAAGATTGCAACCCATTATACACTTTTCTTGTGCTGAATTTCTATTGAATACAATGAGATTTACTGAGGAAAAGAACAACAGTCATGGGGATCAAATTCAAGACTACTTTAGTCTTTCATTTTTTTCTCACAAGGGCAACCAGCTACTACTAGGAAGCAGTAGGGAATTTCTCCTGTTACGTTCATCAGTAACTGGAATAGCATAAAGCTAGATATGTCCTGGTTTTCTGGTGACCACATGAACATGTCATGCCGTTTTCTTGACAACCCTACAAATCTGCTCTGCCAATATCTTCTTTATGGATATTTTTTTCCAGGTCCCAGTCTACTCTTCAACCCTACAATTCCCTGGTTTTATCTCCTCCATGGGTTAACATCCTAATCTTGCTTAACTCCTGAGCCCAGGCAAGGTTGGCTGGGTGAGATGAAGAGGCATTCTGGCTTCCACATTGTCCCTTCTTTGATCTTTTCTACGACAGGTATTGTGTTGAGTTCCAGCTCATGGCCATCACAAAAGGCTGCCTGAATGGGAACAGTTCCTACACTCATTGGATGAAGTATCTCAGTGAAGGACACACAGTGTGTGTGGAATGTCAACATCCAGCCCTAGATCAGAAGAGTCTACACTGCTCTGGGGATGGGAGCGGAGCCAAGAAGTGAGAATCAATTACGTCTTTTGCTTAGTGGGGAAATGTGTACTGGATCGTCTTAAGTTCATGTCACTGCAAGAAAAAAATACTATAAGACTGAGACTGAAAAATTTTGGGTAACTGTTAGAGAGATTGTTGTTGCACATATCCTATGGCTCTGTGCTGGAGCTTTGAAGATGCTACCACAGAAAAGGTGTTAAATTTGTTTAGTCTACCCATGCTACAATATAGGCTTGTTCATAAATGCAAAAGCAAAACCTGTTTAACCTACATTGGTCTTGATACCAATGAAGCAATGTATCTGTGTTGATGTGAGAGGACTCTGTAGATGTGATGAACAAGTTATGTCATTAGGTGTTGCTGCAGCAGCAGCTGCCAGGGCATCTGTCCCAGAGGTCAACATTTGTTGAGGAAGAACCATGCAGTCCAAGCTTCACTCCTTTTAGACGTGCTTTACATATGTAAAAAACAAATGGGGCTTTCATTGTGGCCACCATTTTTATTTTTTTTAATCTCCCCCCCCATTGATACCTAATAAAGCAGCTATTAATAATATGTTCTTGTGAATTGGGCTTGCCACAAGAAGACAGCAAGGGAGCCAGAAGACAGCAAAGGTCAACTGGAATGGCAGAGTTTAGGGTGATGAGGGTGACCATGGATGAGGCTGTCAGAAGGGAAATAGGTGAGTGGGGGAAGTTGGAGGCAGCCCCTTATCTTACTGAGGCTCAAGCTGAGAGAGACCAAGACCAGTACTTATTTAGCAAACTGCACTTCTCAGTTAACAATTGGGACAGTCAGGATTGCAGCCATGCGACATCTCACTTTAAGACTTCATCCCTTAATGACATAAATTACTAGCAGTACAGTGGACCCCTTGTCTCCTGGAGCACACTATTGCTAAGTTCTCATCTATAGTAGTCCATAATGTACAGCAATTAACTGCCTAATTCCCTCTTGACTTTCACTGCTAATGAACTCAAACTGCCTTGTTTCAGGACTTGAAATAAATTTTGCTTTATATATAAAATATGTTTATTAGAAGTAATAGATGTAATGTTTAGTGCAAAACTACTTTTTAAAGCCCATCAAGTATAATTTATTTATGGTATTAAGAAGATTAAGCATTTTCTGGATGCCCTCCACTGTTTTCAGCATACAGCTGCAAAATTATTTTGATAGAGCACAGTAGCAGCAAGTATTATAACTGTCAACTGAAGCTATAAAATATAGTAAAACTGCAAAAGAAAGTTAAAGCCTGATATAATTTTGTTCTGCCCAGAAAACCAGAAATAAACGTATGAGATAAGGTGAAACTGAAAATGGAGAAGTTCAAGCTGTTAAGAGAAAGTCTCAAACTTCCATAAATGCATGATTATCGTATTTCATTTGTTCCATCTGGGGATGTCTTCAAGCATGAGTGAATCTTGCCTCTTAATTATCATAAAGAGTACTTTTGTTAAGCTGAGATTATGTTCTTTGTACTTTTGTTTGCAACTAGAATCTCTGAAGACTGTGGACCAATATCTCCTAGTCTAGGTGTCTTCCAGATGTGTGTGAACTTCAAGTCCCAGAATTATCAGTAACAGCTGTGCAGGTTGTGAATTCTAGGAATTGAAGATCACCAATATCTCGAATGTAAAATGATTGAGGAAGATTGGAATATCCTCTTTCTCCTCACTCTTCCTTTCTTCCTTGAATTCAAAGTCTTTATACCAGGAATGTGCTATTTTTTTCAGATTGAAGGTCATAGGCCTCTAATTACTCTATTGGGCACCATGTTCCAGATAAGTCAGGACAAAATAAATAAATAAATGTGATTTCATTACATTTAGACTGGACGCATATGTAAATAGTCAGTGAACTTGAGGACAGTTTTTGGAGAGTCTAAGGACCACACATACAGTCACTCAGATGCAGACATAGAAGCACAGATTATGCACGCCTCAATTATTCCCATAAGTTTTTATTGTCCTTTTTCTATGAGGCAAACAAACATTCCGAGATCATTATTTTTTTTTCTGTTTGGATACTGTTCCTCTTCTTTTGTTCCCTAAAAAGAAAGAAAGAAACAAACAAGAAAGAAAGTGTTATATTGTTGAACCACCAGTCTCCAAGAATATGGTTTCTCATTTATGAAGGTGGCTTCATGGCTTCAGGCTGTCAAATAATTTAACTCACATGCGAATATGGCTGCAGTATTTTGTTGAATCAGCTGAGCCATGTCTGGAATGTCGCGTGAGGTCTTACTTGGTGCAACTGGAACCATCTGTCAATATTCCTTTCCTCCTTGTTTCTTCCTGAAATAGACTTTGAGACATTGATCAAAACTACTGGGGGATATGGTGACATGGAGATCTGTATGCCATGATCATTTGAAAAGATAGAACAGTTGAGAAAAGTCTTTAGAATGGAGGGCAAGAGGAGAACACAGTCTGAAGATCATTCATCTATTCAAAGAATTCTGTGAAAGGATAGAATGGCTGTGAGACTTCCTCTTCCTTTTTAATAGCAAACTTAGGTGATGAATGGGAATAGGACTGGAGCCAAAAAACATTTTGGAGAAGCCCATGGTTTACAGAAATAAATAATACCCCATCAGTGTAGTAGCACCACACAGATGCTTCACATTTTTTAGTGTCTTGGACAAATTGACTCTAAGTCCATTTTGTGCCTTATCAATTTATTCAGTACATATGGGCTTAAGAAATAGATTCTAAAAGCTGCAATCAATTTGTACACTATCCATCTTTGGGTGTTCAACTGGTACTTAAAAAGGCAGCCTTTAAAAAGATGGAGTAAAATTTAGAGTGGTTTTTTTTAAATGAAAAACTACTGGAAGGTTCAGGCTTGATTAAGCACTACTGACATTTACAAAAAGCATGTGTTGGAAACTGTTAGAAAAGCCAGTGCCTCGTGCTTGCAAGGATTAACTGTTCCTTAGGATTTGCAGGAAGATATGGCAGTTATGGAATGCAAGTTTGCAACAGTGCATGTAGCTGGGGAAAGAAGGAAGAAAAGAAATGCTTGTCTAGGAATAACCTGCGATCATCTCTATTCAGATTTGCAACAGATTGAAAGCCAGCCTGCACATACTTCCTTGATAAAGTAGGGTCAAAGAAAAATCAGTTTTGCATCCAACATTTCTTCATCACATATTTCTGCCATTGGATCTCAAAAGTTTCTGTGTTGCTAGGCATATAAAGGATCTGATTCAGAATCCTTAACTCAAGAAAGGGCAGTCATGTACACAAATGTTTCTCAACCCTGGCAACTTTAAGACGGGTGGACCAACTCCCAGAATTCCCCAGCCAGCACAGTTGAAGTCTACCCATCTAAAAGTTGCCAAGGTTGAGAAACATTGATGTACACTGTTGCATATAAAGCAACAAAGTTGCTTTATATCAAGTCATATCAAGCCTAGTAATTTCTGCTCTTGTTGGCAGTTGCTCCCTGGTACTCATGCCCCCTTTATCTTTCTATGCTTGGAGAAATGGAAATACCACTTCATGGCATGCCTTGTTTTGTTTTACAGGAACCAGTTACTGTACTGGCAGGCTGTGGGGAATCCAAGATGTAGAGGAACCTGGAAGAGGGTTCGCCAGTGGGATACTTGCACTTGTCCTTCGGTTCACAGCTTCTTGTTCATCTGACTTCCATATATTGCCACCAACATTGATTTCTGCACTACTGTAGTCCTCATTTACAGAAATTCAGGGAATAAGATGCAACCTGCTGCATGGACTTTTCAACATTCTGCCAATGTCCGAAGCCCTACCTCTCATCCCAATATTTTATATTTCAAAGTATATTGAATAGCAGAGTTTAAAGAGGAACCACTGCATGGGAGACCCAGGATTGTAAGGTTTTGATCTGAAGGCAGACTCGGTTGAATACAGATGGATAACCTTGTCAGTGCTCAATTTGGATCAATCTGAAAATGCATGAAGCAGTTCCCTCTGAAAATTAAAATATTTCAAGATGAGTTAGTGTTCACACATTGCTCTCCAAGTTCTCTTTTTGAGTTTATCGCCTGTTGCATTTTGACAAAGCTTATCTGCCTAAGACAGCTGCAGTGAAGCTGGAGACAGTCAAAGAGGAGCAAAAGTGATCTAATCTTTCTGCTCTGTGTCCATCCTTTTATAATTTTCTAAATCTTATATCAAAGCCTGAACTTAGGGAATTAGTACAGGATGGTTTCTATATGTGCAGACATAAAGCACTGGTATGATACTGATCACAGAATTCAGCTTCGCAAGAATCTCCTTCCCTTATATTTCAAAAGCAAGTTTTTAGATTTTATGGCTGCTGCCAAGCTATGCTTGGAACTTTTAATGCCTGCTGAAATCATGGAAGTTGTAAATTGTTGGATATAATTTGCAGGCATGTAACATTTGGTTTCATAGGCAGTCCTCTCTTTTATATTTAAGTTGCAGTAGCAGAATAAATTTGTACTGTAGTTCCAGTATCCATATTTTCATACAATTTACACCGGGCATAATTTCAGGGCTTGTACTTTTATATAGCATTTCATAATTGTTCTGCATATATTCAACTGAACTGGCTATCTGAGCTAATCCTGTATATTTAAGTCATCTGCTTCATTTGTGAAACTGGAAATTAATGCTGGTTGGTTTTTCATTCCTTACCATACCGGTTCTCTTTCCTTAAGTTTCTGCTCAAAACAAAAGGCCAAAGAAATATTGGTTCTTGGATAATAATGACGAATGGGGCTCCTACAAGGTTAATGGCTGCTTTAGGGAGGCAATTTATGTTAGGAAAATTGCATACAAGAATGCAACTAATCTGCAGATGCACTTCCTCTTCACAGTTTCTTCCACTGGGAAGCCCTATCGTGGATATTCTTGTTTAATGGATCTTTGTGTATTGTATTTCTACACCTCCCTGTGTCTCTGATTTTGATGAATGAGAAAATAAGATATCTTTTGATTTTTCTGATCAAGGTAGATCTCAGTTGTCTCTCAACTAGCTTGACTTTTCACTCATTGACATGTAGGGATGCTCTAGGGCAGGGGTCCCCAACCTATGGTTTATGGCCCCGTACTGGGCTGTGGCCTCTTAGCCACTGGGCTGCGGGAATAGCTGGAGAGCCCCCCACTCGTGGTAGCACCACCATGCAGGTGCTAGCAGCCCTGTTTTCGCATGTGTGGGTGCACTAGCACTGCCACCAGCATCACGTGAGTACTAGTGGCCTGTTTGCACATGCACGCAGGCACCAGCGGCCTGTTTGTGCCAGTGCCAGTGGGCAATTTGTGCATGCGCATGGGCACTAGCGTGCCACTGGGCACACACGGCCTGCTTGCGCATGCAGATGTACTATTGCTGCCGCTATGCACATGCCCATTTGCCCGTGCCATGCTTGTGCACATTTCACTGCTCCTCCCTTTCCTTCCAGGCTGCCAAACTGGAAAGATTGGGGAGCTCTGCTCTAGGGCAGGGATGACGCAATTAGGCTGGAGATAAGTTGGACAATATGTTGAAATCTTTTTGGCTTACAAAGAGGAGCTTAAGGGATGCAATGTGTTCCTTGGTGTCATCACCCATGGCTGCAGTATCTCTCCAAGGGCTCCAAGACAGAGCAACCTCTCTGAAAGAAGTTGCTGATTCCTATTTAAAATAATGACAATATCAGACTGGAGAGTTTAAGAAACTTGAAACTTGATTTTTTTTGGTGTGAAGTGCTTTATATAGACAACTATCTATGCTCTGTTAGTAATATTTGAGTAGGATTACTCAGTCAAAACATAAACTGGCTAGGGCTCCCAGAATTAAATGATGATTACATTACAGGCTTTTTGTTCGATTGAGGTTTCTTGCCACTTTTCTCCAGTTAAAATGGTTTCCTATATATAATCTGTGGCACCGTGGTTATAATGCAGTACAGCAGTCTGACTCTGCCCACCGTCAGGAGTTTGATCCTGACTGGCTCAAGATTGACTCAATCTTCCATCCTTCCAAGATCAGTAAAATGAAGGACCCAGATTGTTGGGGGCAATATGCTGACTTTGTAAACCGCTTAGAGAGTGCTGTAAAGCATTATGAAGTGGTATATAAGTTTAATTGCTATTGGTAAGTGCTAGTACTGTACTCTTAATACTGTGCCTTCCAAATTCAACCAGGTAATTGTTCAGAAGGACATTGTAGCTGATTATATTGAAAGTGCCTGAGAAGAGTAGGAAACGTAGCAGAGTGGCATGATTTATTCTACAGCATTAATAATTTTTCAGAGTGATTAAAGCTGATTCCATCTGCCAAATAGAAACCAGATACAAATAGATCTAAATGATCAGAATCTTCAATACTGCTTAAAAGTGGAAACCACGATATGTTTCAGTAATTTACTCCCGAATGGAAAATTAGAATCTAAACAGTGATTACTAAAACAATTGAATATAAATTTATACCAATTGTATTTGTCTGGTTGAATCTGGTTGGAATTATGATGACTGACTGGTTCTTGCATGTGTCTTCTAAGAGGAGCCATATTTTCAACCCCAGCGTTGGCAGATTTGAGAAGCCAGGGTGGACAAGGACAAGAGGTGAAATGAATCTCCAAAGTTTTTGTGTGCTTTGGCTGTAGAAGCTGATAGGTAACCATAGCAACATTAGCAAGATTGTTCCTTTCATTTTAGATTCTATCCAAATTTAATGCTTCTAAGTTGGAATAAGTATGTGGTTATTGGAAAGATGCACAATAAACTTCACACTCCAACCATCCTCCCTTGATTCCAATCAGAACCTAAGGCTTGTTAAGGCTCTGAGGGAAAATGCCCCAGAGATTGCAAAGAAAGTATTAGGGCCATCATTCTCAGAAATCAGTCTTTCTGTTCTCCATTCCAGAGTTTTTAAGTAGCCACAATTTCCAGTTTGACCAGATGGGCAGTATAAAAACACTAGATCCAACCTAGCCCTATTGTAAGTGCTACTCAGACATTATTTGAGATGAGTCCACGTGTGTCACCCAATATAAAATATTGATTGATATCCAATAGGTAAAAGCAAGGCATCAAAGATGGCAAACATTGGGAGGTGCTTTACAACGTGCTCAGGTGCACTTCTGTCATTTGTGTCAATGAGATTGTATCTTGAAATCTAAATATCAGCTTGGGATGCTCAGTTCTAGTGGACCTTCTCACAAAGTGTCATTAAGATCAGGTTGAATTTACTCTGAATAAAGGGTACATCTTCTTTAGACTACAGACTACTATTGAAGAGATCTGAACCAGGAAATATTGGGAACATTTTCTCTTTGCAATGTTGAAATCACAAATTGGAATTGTGTTATGTGCATATATACATGTAGCTATGAGGAGGTAATTTGTTAAACGATTAGAATCAAGCTGTAGGTTATTTGGGTAGTCTACTAAGAGATGTCCAACTGACCTAAAGGCATTAAAGTGGAGTAGTTTGATAACATTACTGTGGGATCTGAATAATATCTAGCATCTGAAGAAGTTACTTATTTGGGGTAATGAAACATCTGCAAGAAAACAACCAATCTTAGAGAGCACCAGTAACCCCACAATTCAACCCTGAGTTATAAATATTCTCTTCTACTAGAACTTTAATCATCTGCTATTGGATAGTCAGGAAACTGAAAGAGCTGTTTGTTGCGATAGAACATATTTTTATGGATATGGAGTGCTTTTATGTGAGACTCTTCTGTTTACTTATATGTGTGTGAAAATGGTTAATGTACAATGAAGCAGATTGGCAATATGAAATTCCAATATAAGTTCTAACAAATATAAATACAATGTTAATGTTATAATTTATCTTCTATGTGGACATATTAGGCAAGAGACCAGCAGAGCATAGCCCAGAACCAGGTAGTTGCAATATTTCTGCTAAGTATTACCCTACCTATGAAAGTATTGTTTTGTGTTTGAAACAATAAATGTAAACAATTAGGACTTCAAGGAATACAGCTGTGAAATTTAATGCATAACATTGACACTGCAGGGGCAAAGATTCACCTCTATCCTAATTGTCCCTAAATAAACAATTCCTGAAGTTAAGCTCCTGACAAGAAAAGTGTGTGTAGAATGGCTTGTCTTAAAAGTGCTTCTGATCCTTAAGAACAAGGATAATTCTAGGTCTCTTTACAGTTCATAAACCTTGTAAAGATCGTGTTCTGCAAAATTAATTATTTGAAAGGTGAATGTTTTACAGTCTTTTCTATGCAAACAACTTTCTGTTTTCTCATGCAATTATCTCTGGATAACTCTGGATAACTCTCATGTGATAGGATTTGTATCTGTTTATACCTCTTTAATGTGCATGGAGTCTATATTGCAGATGATGTAATCATGGTTTTATTGGGGTGAAAAAGAGATGCCACAATGCATAACAGAGATACAACTAAACAGGACTATGTCACCCCTTCAGAGCTGCTGCCTATCTGTGGTTCCACCCATGCTCATAGGAGGCTGGTTTGGCTCTACTAAGCCTTTTCAGCAATTTATTAAAATTTGATTGATGGGAGTGAGCTTCCTAGAACTGCAGAGAACAAGCAGGATATAAAGGTTTAAAATAAAATGCTCAAGCAAAAGGTGTGCATGCATGTCAAGGTGAGGCAATTTTCGACATTATCAAATTGACTCTCGAATTCGCTTCTTAGGAAAGAAATCATTTGCTTTGCAAAATGCCCAGATATAAGCTCCATAGAGATGGGTGTAAGCTCCAGAAGGCATTGCAGACTGAATGTGCTACAGAATAGTGGAATTACCAAAAAGGAAAAATGTGCAGCTCAAAAACTGGTACTGCAGTGAAATCTACTAATACAGTCCACAAGAGGGCAGCTCTCTTCTTTTAATACTGAGCCCATATAAGTAAATCCTGTTTTATCTTTTTAAAATCTGAAAATCTGAGATGGAAAGTTAATATTAAAATAAGAGATGGAAAGACTCTCACGAAGGACAGTTTTTTTAATCTATAAATGTCAAGAACCAACATCCAACCTAACTAATAAATCCTTGCTAGCTTTTCCAGTACTATATGTTGTAGCTGTGCCTGAAATCAGAATGGGAGGGGGAGGGAGGAAGACACAGAGAGACACATTTGAAAGAAAGAAAAATACTACTTTTCCCAATCTGTTTCTACCACCACCCCTCGCCTTAGTTTTCATATTTCTGGAAATATATACTCTGAAAAAAGAACTTGGAGCGGTGACAGTAGACATAGAAGGACAAAAATAGTTCCTGTTTCTTTTTCCAAGTCTTCCCGTCTTCAAACTGCAGTAGGTTTTCTTTTTTTCAATGCAGATCAGAACAACATTATGCACAAAGAAGACTGCTGGCTTTACTTATATAGCTTCATCCCCCTAAGGAATGTGAGCTTTCCCATGGCAACCGTGTGCCTCTTTTGCTATTGGTTATAATGGAAGAAGAGATGGAGCTGATGGTCCAAATATTTTATCAGATGTGATAGACTTGTTTTTTAGTAGGGGGCTCTAGCTTGGTATTTGCTACCCTCTGGATAAAGAGGCACCATATGTCTAAATAATTTGGTTTGTCTAATTGATACTGAGATGCTCTTTCAATGCATGCAATCTGTGATAAACACAGCACAACTCAGAACACATTAATCAGATTTTGACAAGCAGGGAAAAAAAAACAACACTCCTGCCCAGTTGTTACTGATAGTACAAAGAGAAGGCACTCCAATTCTTGCCAGACTACAGTTTAGCAAGATTGTCTCTTCTCCAAGCATCCTGAAGACATTTAACCCAAGCCAAGATATCCAAACAAATCTCTCTCTCTCTCTCCCGCTCCCCCCTCTCTCATATCCATCCATCCATCCATCCATCCATCCATCCATCCATCCATCCATCCATCCATCCCACTTTTAGGCCTCCCAAGTCAAGGTATTCTGGCCAATTTACAATGTTAAAAGCAAGAAGAGAACAATATTATGCAAGAAAAAATGTAATAATTCTAAGGCAAGGGTGTCAAACTTAGCTCGTGGGCCGGATGCATCATAGCAAAACCGCACCCATCCCATTGCCAGCAATGGCAAAAAAGTTGCAATACATCATGACACGTCACTGACGTTGCGAGTCTGACACCCCTGCTCTAAGGTGTCAGATAAATACTTTCTCCCATCCCTCCCAGCCTAAAAGAGCCTGCCACATCCCCTAATCTAGCGCTGGGTGAAAGCACATTTTTAGTGCTCATTTGAAGGCAGGTGGGATGGGGGAATATAAGAATCTCTAGGGGGATTGTGCTCCAGATTATACCATGGCTTAAGAAATTGTTTTGATTTAGGCAATATGCAGACAATAGCTGGTTCCTCGACATTCTGAATCACAGACTACTTATTTCAGCCTAGTTTAGTAGGTTGTATGAACACTTTTCTTGCGAGGTTAGGCATGCACATTATTGTCAGGTCTTTTACAGATAACTTAGTTTTAGTTTGTGGAGCTGGCAGCTGGATGGCATAGCCCAAAGACAGTCGTAATTACATGCTTCGGCAGGAACCTGCCATCATTGTCTTACATTCAATTTTAAATGTGGTGGCAGAATTAAAAAACTGGATGGCAATTAGCTGACAGCAAATAGATATGGAAAAGGAGCTATTTGCAGCTATCTAACTAAGTCCAGAGCTGCTGCACTCAGAACAGAAAAGGAATCACTAAGAAGCAGAAAAGAGGTTGCCAGAGTTGTGGGCCACCTATCTTGTGGCCACTGTAGTGGGTCTTCAGAGATGTGACTACAGGATTCCTTGGCTTGATCTGTTCCTAGGTTGGTTTTGGATTCCTTGGCCTGATCTCTCCTTAGTTTGGTTTTGATGTAACTGATTAGTTGGCAATGCTGACTGGAAGCAGCTGGCAAAAAACGCCAGTCCTGGGTGTGACAGAACAGTAGTGTCTGAGTGATCCTGAGCACCATGTCTTCCAAACTGCCATATGAGTCGAGTGGATCAGCATAGCTCACTAATACCCCTGGTTCCACTTCTTTTGATTCCCTATGTTCCATGAATTCAGAGAATTGCAATTACTGATGAAATAATTGCTTTATGTAACTTATAGCAAAGCTTTTACTGTTTCTTGAACTTCACTTTTTGTGCTGTCTCACTGATGTGCCAAGAGGAGGAAGCACTACTCTTACTCATGGCCCTGTGGACAAGACTGATCTGGAGGACATACCTACAGATCACTGTTCACTTTGTAGTGCACTGAATGTTTTCCAAAGGAAAAAGCAGTGGTGGGATTCAGCTGGTTTGCACCACTTTGGCAGAACTGGTAGCTAATTTTTTGTTGCCCAGGCCCAAAATGGACTTCCAGAAGTGGCATCCACACAGAGAACCGGTTGTTCACATATTTGAATCCCACCACTGGGAAAAAGAGAATGAAATACAATTAGTGACCCAGGAACCATCTTGTAAAGGTGTAAGTAGAAGATTTTTTTTTCATCTCCCTTCTGATAAAACTTTCACAAGGCTTAATATCTGGTTGTTCTTTTTCTAGGACCTGCTGTTTCAACTACATTTAATTGGCTATTAGTTTTTATTGTTTTGCTGTATATGTTTTTGTGGAACTTTCCCATTTTAATTGCTTCATACTATTTCTATAAATTTTGTTTTTAGTTCTGTTGGTTAATACAAGGTAAAGACATCCTTGAGTCAAGTGTGACTCATAGTCTTTACATGTACACTTTTCTTGGCAAAGTCCCTTCTTGGCTTCTTTCTTTTAATTCAGTCTAGCCAGCAACAAGAATCCTCATATGGTTCCTCATCCAAATGCTATGTGATCAGTTAGGATTAACTAGGTTCAAATACCTGTTGAGGCTGTTGGTTTGCTGAGTGAATGAAAGAACCAACTTTTGTGAGCAACCCCAGAGTTAATTAAAGACCATCAAGCCACTAAACCTCATCCAATCAGCCACTATTTGGCATCATTAGGCCTTTGCCAAGAATCTCACCCTATGAGATTGTTGCTATTGATTCCAAGAGATCTCTGGCCCACCATGACCTGCTTTTCTTTGCTTCCTATCCAATATCCTTAAAAGGGTGGGACACAGTTGCTTTAAAAATGTCATCACCTTGAATAACTTTCCCATGCTTAGTGGCAATATTGTAAAGCTCGGTAATTTTGAAGAATTATTTATAACAGAATGAAACCAATTTTAAAAGTTGAATTTTCCTTACATCCTGCTATTTTTCTATAAAATATTATTAAATCTCAAAGTATATTGGATAAGCTTTGCATGTAATAAGTGTTACAAGAATACTCTTGTACTTCTTATTAGAAAGTAATCACTACTTAGCAATCAGCCAAAGCAACTTTTTATTTCAAAAATAAATTTGGCAAAGAATTTAATTCAACATGGAAACAATTTTTTGGAGTAGAACTCTATATTCAAGCTTGTATTATATCTGAAATTTGGGCTTTTCTTAACATAAAGGTTTTATTGATTCTATTGATTGATTATGTGTCATCAAGCCAGTGTATATTCTTAGCAATCACACAGATCTTCTTCATGATGATCAGTCCCTTGCCTTCCAACGGTGTACCTATGACCACCGTAAACACTCGTTTTGCTGCTAGTCATCCCCTTCCTCTCTTTCCTTCCATCCTTCCCAGCATTATATCCTTTCTCAGAGAGTTGGGTCTTTTGCATTATGTGTCTGAATTATGATCATTTGAACTTGGTCAAATATCTTTTCCAAGACCTTCATGGCTCTGAATACATTCCTTACTGATGAGAATGTAATTGATCTTAAAAGGCGGAATCGATCTACCACTTCAATATTTTCATTGTCAATTCTAAAAAGGTTTTATTGCTTGAACAAAAATTGTTGTAATTCTTAATCTAATGTTATGATTTAAACTGCATTACTTGCATTTTAATAATGACTGGTATTTTTAAAAAAATAACTTGTAGCATATTCAGTTGCTTAAACTAAATATGAAATACTGAACATTTTAACCTTGTTCTATGTTTGTAGAGTGATAGGCCTGGAGGTCTTCTAGTCCAATTCCCTGGCCAGACTGAGACTCCTCATACTATTCTGGACCAATGGCTA